GAAGACCTCGAAAAAAGGTGTACCTTTCTTCAGCGTGGTGTTCACCTCTGCTTTCGGTCTGCTTGGATTCATGAACGTTTCCAATTCTGGCAGTACTGTTTTCAATTGGTTGGTCAACATCGCTGGTGTGGCCGGCTTCATTACCTGGGCGTCGCTCAACGGCTGTCATCTGGCTTTCATGCGTGCCCTGAAGGCTCGTAACATCTCTCGCGATTGCCTTCCGTACAAGGCCTTGTGGCAGCCGTACTATTCCTGGTATGGTCTGTTCTTCAATGTTCTTATTATCATCACTCAGGGCTTTACCGCGTGGATTCCCTCCTTCGATGTCACGAGCTTCTTCACCGCTTATATCAGTTTGATTCTTTTCGCGGTGCTCTACATCGGCCACAAAATCGTTTACCGAACGTCTTTCGTCCACCCGCTCGAGGCTGATATTGACACGGGCCGCTTGGAATTGGAGAATGAGACGTGGGAGACATCTGTACCGACATCTAGCAAATGGTACAAGAAGGCTTTCCATGCGGTCCTTGGATAATCCCGGGCCCGGACTAGCTCATTGACTAGGAGTTTTTGTTTTGAGCACAGGCGCCCTCTTGATTGCGTTCTCGTCGGTCGTGGAAGAATTCCTAAGACTGATCTCTTTTCTTCTTTGCCTGATTAATTGAGCCCGGCACATACATACTGGAAAGTTCATGCACATATAAAATCATCTGGGGTTCCGATTGCATTGGGGTGAAAGGCGGGTTTCTTCGCTCTATGATGGACGATGGTTTGAAAAAGCCATAGAGCCCAAGTGCTTGCCCTCGGGGCTTGCTGCAAAGCCTATTTGTACAACATATATATTCTATCTGGAGGGGATGTCAGCATTGGCATGGCGTTTGGTGCGAGACTTTGCTCATTAATCTATTACTTTCCTAATGTATCATATTTATGGCTTCCGCCTACGCTGTGTTGTCTCTTGGGAATGAAGTCAAGTTCACTTAGGAATAGTGTTCTCTCCTGTGGGTATCTCCGGATCGACTACCAAGGTACGAAGTAGTAAGTACCAATAGCCTGCATATGTGCGTGCATTTGAATTTCCCCGCGGCGGGTTAAGATCTGCGCCCGTGATGCATATACATCATCGATCTTCGTTAATTCACATGAAGGTCCACGTGCTCGAGAATGGACACAAGAGCAGGCTTCGTACCCGAAGTAAGTTCCACCTGACATCTGTTACTTTGCCTATTGGGCGGTGTGGTGGCATTGACCAGAAAGCATGTGAGGGCGAATGACTCCAACGCTTCAACATCTCATCGGACGGCGACTTGCACAACCTGCTAGTCGACGGAGTCCGGAGTTTATACCTAGTCCTTTGGAAAGTGAGACATATTATACTCAGTACGTGTATGTAGCAGCAGCCAGACAATCAACCTGTTTCTTATCCTGCTCTTCTCCTATCTCTTTTCTCATAACTTGTGAGCATGCGCAATGGCAGACAGAAGCGGAAGAAGCATCATAGGAACTCTTATTGCAGCAGAATCCCGAGTCAAATCAACTTGAGCACGAAAAAGAGTCTTATAGTATGGTTATGAACCAGTTCACCGTCGACGGATGCAAAAGCCAGTCGAGATGGAAATGGAAATGGCCGGCGCAATGGATGGCCGAAAAGAGTAAGTGCCGAGGCAGTCACTCCCAGCACCTGCTCTGCAATTTGACATCGCGTGGGGGAAGAAGCCGGGCCGACCAGTTAGAACTCGTGCTTTCGGTCTGAATTCCGGAGAAACCGCCAACCTTGAACTGAGTGGAGGATCTCTCCTGGGGCAAATGAAAGTGAATGATTGAGGGAGGCATTCCTTCAATCCCTCTTCCTCCTCCGCTCTCTTTATCTCTCTCCGGTTTTTCTCTTCCCACTCCTACCACCTTATCTATCCACTCGCCCGGTTGTCCTTCAGTCTGTTTCTCAGCCTCTCGGTCACTTCCATTCCCCCGCTTCGTTCTGTCATCTACTTCCTTGACGAGCATTCTCCCTCCCCTGAGTCACCTTGACCCACACGTCGGGATCTTTTTAACGCAAAGTACCCGGCTTCTTTACTGTTAGGTTGAGGGGCTCTTGAGCTTGAGGTATCTTTCTCCGAGACTCAGGAGACCACCTGTGCAGCTGTTCACTAACTCGATCGCAATCGAGCAGTCACGCTCCTCGTCGCAATGTTCTTCTCCCAGCTACCGACTCACCTCCAGCGCGCTACCGAGCTACAGCAGGAGCCCCCTAAAGGCAAACCTTACGGCGTTGCCCTACCGGGCACCGAAAAACCAGGGCGCTCTCCCGTCTACCGGACCTGGAACTCAGCCAAAGAACTAGTAAAAACACTAGATCCTAACGTATGCTCGTTCGCGGACCCTATGAGATGAGAACCACATTGGAATTGTTGTTGACTGGCTTCGGTTTTCTTAGGTCGCTACTGCACACGACATATTTGAGTCGACCGCCAGTAGAGTGCCCAAGAGCGACTGCTTGGGATGGCGCCCATATGATCCGATAGCACAGGCCTACGGCCCATACCAGTGGATGGATTATGAGACGGTTCAGAGGCGACGTACTGCTTTTGGTGCTGGTCTAGTCGAACTACACCAGAAACATGGCTGCGATCGCACTGGCCAGTATGGAATTGGCTTATGGTCCCAGAACCGCCCAGAGTGGCAACTGACTGGTATGGGGCACACCGTCAAATATGGGTTGAGCATAATTGCTAATGCTCTTTTCTATAGACCTTGCCTGTATGTCTCAAAGTCTGTACTCGGTCTCCATCTACGATGTTCTCGCGGCAGACGCTACGGAGTACATCATCAACCACGCCGAGTTGCACTGTGTTGTGACTTCTTTGCCTCATATTCCCACGCTGCTGAAATTAAAGCCATTGTTGCCCGGCCTGAAAATCATTGTCAGCATGGATCCTTTGGAGGCCGGGGAGCCCGCCGGCCTTTCTAAGCGCGCGCTCCTCGAATCGATTGCGGCTGGGCTGGAGGTATCTATTTACACCATCGAGGAGGTGGAAGAGCTTGGGACGTTGACGAAACGTACCTGCAATCCCCCAGGCCCATCTGACATAGTTACCATAAATTATACGTCCGGCACCACAGGGAATCCCAAAGGGGTGGTCCTGACCCACGAGAATACTGTCGCGGCAACTTCAAGCGGCCTCGTAGTAACTACGCAGGCACCTGGTGATACTCTGGCATCCTATCTTCCACTAGCACATATCTATGCGCGACTATCGGAGCATGCAGCATTCTGGGCGGGGGCTCGAATTGGCTACTTCCATGGCAATATGCTGGAACTCGTCGATGACCTGAAAGTCCTCAAGCCTACTGGATTCATGTCGGTCCCAAGACTGTTCAGTCGCTTCGGAAATGTCATTCGCTCGGCTACTGTGGACCAGCCCGGTTTCAAGGGAGCTTTGTCGAGACATGTTGTTGCGGCGAAGACAGCAAACTTAGAGAATCCCGATGCTAGCAAAGCCACAATAAAGCATGCGGTGTATGATCGCATCTGGTCGAAAAAGGTTTCCGCGGCGCTTGGTCTGGAGCGCACTAGAGTGATGGTCTCTGGCTCTGCGCCTCTGGACCCGACCCTCCACCAGTTTTTGAGAGTGGTTACTGGTACCGATATAATTCAAGGTTACGGGTTGACCGAAACATACGCCATTGCATGCGCTCAATCTCCGCGAGATCTGACTGCTGGAAATTGTGGGCGACTTGCTCCATGCAACGAGGCCTGCTTGGTCTCTCTGCCGGATATGGAATACTCAGTCGATGACAAGCCTTTCCCACGGGGTGAACTGCTCTTACGTGGAGGGAACATCTTCCGTGAGTATTATAAGAATCCAGAAGAAACGGCCAATGCTATGACTGAAGACGGATGGTTCCGGACCGGCGACGTTTGCACCATCGATGATATGGGCCGAATCATAATCATTGATCGTCGCAAGAATGTCTTGAAGCTGGCGCAAGGAGAATATATTTCCCCTGAGCGTTTAGAGGGCGTTTACCTGTCTGAGCTGGGTTACTTGGCACAGGGCTATGTCCATGGTGATAGTGTACAGACTTTCTTGGTGGGTATCTTTGGCGTGCAGCCTGAATCATATGCCCCGTGGGCCAGCAAAGTGCTCCGCCGAAGCATCGAGGTCACGGACATTGGCGGCATCAAATCGACGTTGGATGAACCTCAGATACGTCGCGCGGTGCTGCGGGATCTTGATCGCGTTGCAAAGAAACACAAACTTGCCGGCTACGAAAAAATCAAGAACTGCGCGCTGATGCTGGACCCTTTTACAGTCGAGAACAATCTATTGACTCCGACGTGAGTGGAACTCCCTTCCGACTTCCTCCTGCGCAAGTCTGACCAGATATCTAAACCCATTAGTTTGAAGCTGAAGCGTCCCCCGGCTGTGAAGAAGTATCGCCAACTCCTGGACGACCTATATACGAGGGCGTTGGCTGAGGAAGCCGCGCCGAAAGCCAAGCTCTAGGAGACACTGGCCTCGATAATATGTTTATGTGCTAAAATCCAGGAGAGCATGCTAGCCAACTCAACTGCTGGAGCCGCCTTGTATATAATTTCCCTGTAGTTTTTCTCTTTTTCGTGTAATTTAGCACTTAAGTGATTTTGGGATCCAAGGCTTAGCCTTTGAGCATGGTCAAAGGGTTGTTCAACCTAGGGGTGGATAAAGTATTGTACAGTACTGTACTGCAGTTACTGCATACATAGATAAGGCAGTCATGATTCTTAACACCGGAGATTTGCAGGCTGCGAACAAGAAAACATCGATTGTCTAGGAGACTGAACTTGGGTTGGGCCATGCTTAGAAAATGAAATAGATAGCCATCACTAGTATAGTGAAGAGTGACAGCACATCTAAATTGGTACTCGGTGGTAGGCCCGAATGATTGCTTGGCGCTGGAGTTTCTTGATACGTAAGTTACTGTACGATAGTCATCCATCATCTGCAACTCCCCGGTTTGACCCCAACTCTTTCTTTGATCAATCCAACCAGTCCCTTCGAACTATCAACCAGCGACTGCTGCCTACCATGCGCTCGTCCAGCAGCCCCCTTGTGGGACTCTTTCTTCTCCTGCTGTCTACACCAATGCTGGTATATTCAGCCCTCACGATCGCCATTCCCTCATCCAATCTGCTCCCCAATCCCCACGCTCTCCCCGCTGGAACCCATGCGACGTTGACCACGCTTCCCTCGTCGCCCTCGTCGCCTTCGCAACTGACTGCATCCCTCACTCGCTCTGCGACATTCGTCTTCGCCAATATCCCTGCCCAATCGAAGCCTCGATCCTACATTCTCGACATCCGCTCGCCGGATGTCATCTTCGCCCCGTACCGCGTGGACATTGCCGCTGATGGAAGCGTTCTCGGCGTCTGGGAGACCTTCCGCGCGAACCCCTGGGATAATAGAGGCCCGGAGAAGTACATCCTCGATGTCACTACTGCCGCTGGGCAAGTTGGAGCTGTCTCTGCTGCAACCACGCCCGATGTGACTGTCGAGGCCCGAGTCCTTGCCCGGAGAAATTTCTACGAGGAACGCCCCCGGTGTATGTTCTATCTGAATAACGACACATTGGCATGGACCATATGGGATCGCTAATCGTTCGTCCTAATCAATTAGTCTCGCCCTTGGCGCTGTTCAAGAATCCTATGATCCTACTAGCTTTGGTCGCTTTGGGATTTACATTTGGCATGCCGAAGTTGATGGAAAACAGTGAGTTGCCTCTCTCTCTCTTTCTTCACCCGCAGCATTTTCTTTCCTTTTGGGACACTCTTATCCTATTTTTGGTTCAACCATGACCCGTTTTGCCCTTGTTAATGCTTCCGTGTACTCTTGCGCTCTAGTGGACCCCGAGATGCGTGCCGAATTCGAGAAACAATCTCGCTCCTCCCCGATTACGGGCGCCACACGCAGCGCCATGGCCGGCGGCGGAGCGCCCGGCAATTTCGACTTGGCAGGATGGATGGCTGGAGCCACTCCCAGGCCCGCGCCCGGTGCTGACGGAGTTGCTGCGTCGGGCAGAGATAGTGGGGGTGCTTCTCGGAGAAGAGGATAGACATGCAGGCCCTGCGGCGTCGGAATGACAACGCAGCGCGAGAAGTTTGGATGCTCGCCAACCTTCATTCCTGTGCTCGTACAGGAGGTAGAAAGCTCGACGTATAACATTAGAGCGAGCTTAATCAAGCGAACCTTGTCAGCTTATAATCCCCCTTTACCTCGCTTTACCTACACCTAACGATGGCATAGGCTAGCCACGCTTCACAACCATCTTGCCTCGCGCCCGGGAAAGAAGCTCATATAGAAGGAAGTATATTTCATCCGAGGATTCAGATCTAGCGTTTGAATTTGATTTAACATAAGTACATGATTCAAGTCCAGCTATTTTGACATTGACGGAAAACATTCCTGAAAAGGAGATATTGATATAGCTTCCAACAAAAAACCACGGAAGTTGCCTAGACGAGCAGACAGTTTGGGTTAACTCACTCTTGAGCTAGGAATGTTGGATCGGATTCGTTGGTTGCCCACATGGCAGATTGGATTTATTGTATGCTCTGGTCTGAAGTACAGTAGATTCCTACCCAAGATATACCCGAGGTGAGTTTGCAGGCGAGCTGTGGATAATACATCATGTCAACAACAGTTACGTGCGGGCCAGTGGCGGGAGCAGCGGCCGTTGAGCTGGACCACACAATTCTAAGAGACACGAGCGACAAACCGTATACATCATCATATACATCATCATGACACATAAGCTATTCATAAGGGCACCTCGCGCAGCCAGGGTTCGCACATAAAACATCAAAACAGAGATGGGCTGAACATAAAGGGAGACGCTTTAGAAATCACCGCCGAAGTCATCACCACCGTCAAAGTCACCCCCATAATCATCCCCATAATCACCTGGGGGAGGACCGTAATCGTGCGACATGTCTTCCAAAGCATCAGCGAGCAGCATGCCACCAAGAAGCCCACCTCCAACACCTAAAGCTGCAGCCCCCGCGGTGCCCATCCCAGGCCGTCGCTGTTGCGGCTGTTGTTGGGTTGGGTAAAAGCCACCCTGTGGTGGATATGATGGGTAACCATACCCTGTCTGTTGCGGAGCATAACCAGCGCCACCACCGTAGTAGTACCCGCCTTGAGGGTAGCCATATGACTGTTGCGGTACGGGTTGCTGCGGCCGAGGGAATGACGCGCCGCTATTACCGGCGACTTTTCCTTTTAACTTGCTGAAGAACCCTTTGCTACGCTGCTGAGCCGGTCCAGGAGAAGGGTTCTGCGATTGTGGTTCCGAGGACGGATATCCAGCGGTTTGTCTCCGAGAACCATCGGTGTAGTAGTCAGATGCAGCACCGCCCGAGTTCGCCGGGCTCCTGCGACGAGCTCGAGCATTCTCCTCCACCTGTAGCTGAGTAGCAAGCCGAGCATCGTCATCTAGATTATGGTGCCCGGATTCTGGTGAAATGTATGTGTTCCTCGAATCAAGAGGTTTCTTGTCACGTGAAGAGGAGTCAGCAGGACCCGACGCATCGTAAGACGGTGGCGGCTCGCTCGGTGGTCCATGTATTTCTGGTTCTGCTTTATGCGGTCCTTCGGGACGTTCCCATTGTGATCGACCAGTTCGTAGGTTTACGAAGAACCTGAGGTCGTTATCAGCCTTGCTCGATCCATCTTGCATTCGATGACTGGGTGATATGCATACCACTGATTATAGCGGTCATCATACTGAGCCTTCCATCCTTCAGGGACAGAAGGGGTCGGAGGGCCGGGCGGCGGGGCGAACGACATGAATAATATAGATGGTAACTTAAGCTTAGTACTTACTTATGGTTTCAACAAGACAGTAGTCAGTTATCAGAAAGAAAACAGAAAAAAAAGAACCAATCTCATCTGAAATCAAACCAGACGGGGAAGTGATTCCGGCTTAAGGTTGAACAGAGGACATAGGTGTCGTAGATGCAGACTAGAGGGTGCATTATATACAGCGAGCAGTGGTAGTTTTCGATGGTCATCGCCCTGTGGCGCTGCTCAGCCACGTGATGTCATTGTGGATAGATGGAGATTGGTATCACATGGGAAGAAAGTGTCTAGTAATCACTAATCATGTGGTTAACTGTGTACATACTGTCTTTGTATACTACTCTGTGAATAAGCAAAGTTCGGCCAGACCATTGACTGACTAGTCAAATCAGTCAGGTTTAGATCCACCAATGACCAAGAGCTCATGCCACTTTACCATCTGATGCATAATTGAAACTTGCCCCATCAAAGACAATGTCCAAATCTATACCAAGAATCCCTTGCTGCATAGTGAGACAGGATTGTAAGGAATATCTAAGGAGGAAAAGCTTCCCTAAGTTCGCTGTTGGCTGTCGTGACTGTCAGAATCCCTCCCACCCTTACCCAAAACAATACTGCTCGTAGTGATACAGCCATCCTCTACTTCGAAATCCCACGGCCCCTCTTCCGAATGGAAACCATAGCCTCATACAAAACATCCTTAAAGCCAAACAAGAATGCCGCAGTAATTGCACTTTGGGTCACTTTTGGTCCAATTCCTGTTTCAATAATGTAAGCTGTCTTTCACCAAGCACTTCGTCAATTCGGGTTCACTTGCCTTTGTATAGGCCAGCATAACCTTCTTCCTGAATTATTTTCTTCAAGCTCCCATTCAAACTCTCCCGGGGCCCGTCTTTACTTGCAACATGCATGCGGCTCTTGACTGTGATGTAGGGATATGTGATCGAAGTAGCGAGTATTTTACCAAGGGCGCCCAAGTAGAACGCATCCTTGGGTGTCATCCGTCTGCGACGCTCGACGATGTTTTTCAATTGCTCAAAGATCGTATATTGCAAGATAGGGTTGACCACCAATACGAGAGCTGGTAGGACACCGGCGAAGAGGGCCTTTGGGCCCTCTCGGCGCAGCAAGTCCATCAGTGTAGCAATTGTCGATGCTCGCTCCTTTCCAGGAAAAGCACCGGGCAATGACTCCTGATCCGAATCAGACTTGCGGGCTGTCATTCTGGTATTTACCACCCAAATCGGATTGGTGATCATGACTGTGGCGATGCCTGCAATAGCACCGGCAATCATGGACTCAACGGTTGTGAGCTTTCTAGATGCCCTTCCTGCTTTTGCAGCTGCCTTTTCGAAGGCGGAGCGTGTCCATTCATACCAATAGTAGTAAACGAAATTGGTAACACTAATACCAAAAAGTGCCGACTCAAGTCCCGAATATAGTCCGGCAAACCCCTCCCTCCGGACGATGCGACGAACCGCGTCATAGATTGTCGAATGCGCCCGCTTGGATTCAACCTGGGCCCTTGTTGAGAGAGTGATGAGCGGGTAACTTTAAGGTTAAACCAAGCGTTAATGAAGACCCAGTCGAGCAGGAAGCGTTACTCACGTCAACGCCATCGAGAGAATGCCGCCTCCCGCACCGGCCAAGGCATGCGCTATGTTATCGCTCTGTTGCATGGCAGCGGATACTGCCAACCCCTTCTTCTCCTCATGGATACTTGCTTGAGACATCGACCACGGACTCTTCACGCTGCGTCCAAAAATGATGCAAAATTAATATGATAAAAGGGAACTTGCTTGGACTGAAAGTAATCCATGCGTTGCAATACTCACAAATATGATTGAGCGAGTTTGGAGGAGGGGCTTTCTATTGTCCCAACTGAGAGAGTCAGGTCAAGGAAGGGCGCGCGTTGCAGGAAGGAGCGAAGCAAAAAGTCAAGACACAAACAATAAAAAGCTGCAGGATGTTGGTTATTAGAGACCTTATCAAGGCAAGGTTAAAAGGGGGGACCAGGTGAAAGGATCGAGTTTTGGTGCACCGAGATATGTAGAAGGGCGAGAGAATGACTCGGCTCAGGAGATAAAAGCAACGATGCTCATGACGTTTGCCGAAATTTGGGCCTCGGCTGATGTCCCTCTCCCGCAAAATTCGGGGATCAGTCGCGTGTTTACCAAAGGTACTGTGCCCAGTAGGATATTGACCAGATTCTAGCGGCAAATGCTGACATGTACAGGACTGGAGCTGGTGCGATGAAAGGGTAAGTAGCTCACATCGGCACGCCTACCCCAGATGTACATGTATGTACTGTATACCGCATGGTTAGTAGCCAGATAGAGTGACATATTGGAGTCACGCTTGCTTACGTTGTTATCGTTATCGTGGATGAGGTACGTTACAAATCTGGAGCGTACTGTACGGTACATACATCGCAGGAGCCAGTAAGCCCAGAAAAGAAATTTCAGCCAAGTACTTATGAATTTACTTGCATTCGACGGTAGGTAACTTGGACAAAAGCTCAAATGGCTAACCAGTCAGGTGCAAAAACATGACTAGTTTGCCGACACCTTACGACGTAGCAATTCAATGCGGAGAAGCCAATTTCGCATGTGACATTCATTGCCTTCCTGCAGTAACCAATCAATCACTTAATGGGCTGCCGACCCCCAGCCGGAGGCCACCCCACCCCACCTCCCCCCTTCCTTGCAGAGGTGGGTAAGGACTGTACTAGGTAGGTGCCTGTACGGAGTACTCAACTGTACATTAGTTGTCGCCCCTAAAAACCATCTATCAGCCTGGGATGGTAGTTAGCCACTTATTAATCTATTAACTGAGTAGAAAAGTCTAACTATACGGAAGGCAAAATAGTAGAGAAGGGATCAGGAGGAAGGGTGGGACCCGCAGTGATAAGAGCCCACTGGTTCGACGCTTTTGCTTAAAGATTCATTGTCTTCTGAATTAACTAAATATTCGACCCCGAGCGAGTAAACAAGGCAAACAATCCAACTTACTGGAAGAAAGATCAATCGAATGGAGACTTGTGGGAGAGACACTAGTAAGGAAGAGATAGAAACTCGAAAGGATTATGGGTGAGAACCGGCGTAGTGAAAGCAAGAAACAATGAACAAAGGAGGCGAGGTGGGGGCTGGGCAGGGGAGACTGAAGAAAACTCAGCAAAAAGCAGGCGGGGATGAAAGTAGGTGCATCTGTGGTGTGACAGTGTATAAAGACGAAACGCAAGCCCTCTAAAGCATGAAAAATGAAACTATTCCTATGGTCATTCCCAGCATGAAGGATCTGCATCCACCCTAGCATTGGGAAGACAGCCAGTGATGAGGCGCAGCCGGTACATCTTCCCCCTAGCTCATCTTCTTGGATCCCATAACCCCCCTTGTGCCGTTACACGTTGGAAGGACAGCACCTGGAATTACAAGCACAGACGCCTAACAGCAGCCGCCAGAAGAGCCAGACTGAACTCCCTGGCCCTGGCCAACTTGCACAGTGGGCTTGTTGTTGACGGTGGCAGTTCCCATACGTTCCTTGATCTGTCTAGCCATTGTCAAGAAAGCTTGCTCGACATTCGAGGCATTCTTGGCCGAGGTCTCCAGGAACGGTATTCCGAGGCTGTCCGCAAATTCCTGTAGCATTTACATACTCCGTCAGTCGCCGACCGGAAAGCTCTAGAAACTGGCGACTGTAAATACATACCTTGGCCACTGTGTACTCCACTACCTTCTTGTCTTCCATATCGCTCTTGTTGCCCACAAGCAATTTATTGACACCCTCGGTGGCATAACGGTCAATTTCTTGGAGCCACTGCTTAACGTTGTTGAATGAGTCCATATCAGTCACGTCGTAGACAACGCAGATGCCATGGGCACCACGGTAATACGACGACGTGATAGTCCTGAAACGCTCCTGGCCCGCAGTATCCCACTGAAATGCATTAGTGATCCCTGGTCATCATGTCGCATTACCGGCTTCCTTACAATCTGGAGTTTCACCGTCTTCCCGTCGAGTTCAATAGTGCGAATTTTCTAAGCGTACTATTAGCAGGCCGGTACACGGAAAAGGCGGAGCTTGAGTTGGGAAAGACACCTACAAAATCGACACCGATGGTGGAGATGTAGCTTTCCGTGTAGGTATCATCGGCAAATCGAAGAAGCAAGCAGGACTTTCCAACACCAGAATCTCCAATAAGGAGAAGCTTGAAGAGGTAATCGTATCTGCTCAAAGCGTCAGCCTAGCTGAGAATGAGACACCGGGCCGCCCATCTTCGTTCTCGCAGTTGGAAAGGGAGTATGGAGGCGGGGAGAGATCGGGGCAACTCTAAACGAACACACAAATTAGCAACGTGCCGGCGGGTCAGTAGAGACAATCCGAGGGACTGCATGTTAGATGGAATATGATGCAAGAGTTTGTGGTGATTAATACAACAGCACGCAACCCCGATGCATCGCTCGGGGGCGGATCCAGGCACTTACGACTCAGGGTTCATGGTGGAAATGGTGTGGAGGTATGTGTCGAGATTTGCAGGTGCTTAGAACAAAGAAAAAGGATATCGAGGACTGATTCAAAGCTATCTGGACACGTTTGAATGAGAAGGTGCAGGTAGGAGTGGCAGCAAGCTGTGATTGTAAATGATGCTCGGAGTGTCTGTCTATTAAGCTGAGGGTGACCAGGCGGTCTCTTGGAACTGGCGGTTGTTGCGTTGCTGACGACTGCAGGAGAGCAGGGGAGCCCAACGTGCAGGTTCCAGCCGTGGGCTGCTGGTGACCGTTTCACACTCCAGACCCACCCACCTACCTCAAAGCCCATGGACCAATCTGGATTAGTGTCCTGGTACAGAAAGTCTTACTAGTTAGTCCAACAATTGGGACAATAACTCACTGTTACTTGTAGTTAGGTAGTTAAATATAAGTAAGCGTGGTAGTTTCGGTGCGTTGGGAATAGTCACATTGTTCATTGGCATGTTCCAGTAATATCTTCTGCAGAATGTGTCATGGGTACAACATGGTCCACTGTCCATCAGAACCACCACAAGAGCTAGTCATGCAGATGTACGGCGAGGATAACTGTCGGTCAATTTGAGATCTGCTCGTTATTCGTTGTTCCTCACAAATAATCATCTCCTTTTAAAACCATTAACACTACTCTATCTTGACAGACATCCAACGAGCCAGTGAAGAAGGTGGGAAAGCACTTCTACACATTGCTTTATTCAATCTCGGCTGTTTCGCCTGCTATTGCTCAGGTGATTCTCCCAGCCACAGTGGGGCTGGCTCTCACTGAATAACTATGTCATGCGAACCACCTCCTCAAAAGAGCAGCAATTGCTGTTTCTAACTAATCACATATACCCATGAGCCTGAAGCCACTCCAACACCAGACCCTCATCTCTGTCTTTGTAGTGCACATTTGTGCGGATGCTATCAGCAACAATGACCAGAGCACGGTCGTAGGCACTGGTATCCTTGTCCTGAAAGAAAGCAGAGATGTCGGTTTCAATGGTATGATCGGCGAACTTACAAAGTCCCATGCGCACAAAGCGCTCGAAAACAACATTGTTTGTCGATAAATGAGATTCAACCATGTCCCAGTGCGTTTTCATGTACTCCCAAAGTAAATGGCGAGTGCTTGAATTCGAAGCAAGTGAAACCGCACCGTTATGTATGTCCTGTATAGCAACCTTGTCTGAGAAGACAAAATCCAGGTAGTCCCTGACCAAATCAGGATTTTTCGTGCGTCCAAGAGCCCCTAGGCAGATCTCTTTGCCATCGACAGAATCGGTTCTCAAATATTCCTCCTTGACGGAAGCATACTCTTGATTTCCACCCTCAGAAACTATAACACCAAAAATGACAGAGCGCAGGTTGGTATGCACAGCGTTTTTGTCTTTAGCCGTGTTCCAGAGCTGGAAGCGTCGTGTTGCCTCGGAAATCATACTAACGTTGAATTTTAGTGAAGGTCTCAGTAAGCAGCATCAGGATGTGAAGACACTTACTCTTTATGCCCAGCATGGCATGCCATTCCAATCAAAAGTTTCCGGAGCTGTACAGTAAGATAATCATCTTCGGGCTCAAACTCCCAGCCGATTTCTTCAGCGGCTTGTGAGACTAATTCGAGGGTGAATCTCTTCAGCCCTGACGAAACCGAGTTGTTCTGTGCAAACACCGAGCGTAGGTTTCCGATGGAAGTTGAGATTTGAGACCAGATCCTAGAATATCAACATTGTTAGACTGAGATTACAAATAAGACGCACCAATGGTGTTCATGGGACGCTGACAGGTAGTTCTTTTCTTCTTTAAAACCACTCAATAAAGATAACAAGGCAGTCGTTGTGCCATTACCAGAAACAGCAAGGGCAGCAGCATCGCCGATCAGGCCAATCTTATCCTCAGTACTTAGTAGATTCAAAGTCTGTCCGAGTTTAGCCAAACGATCAGCAGGATAATTGGTACGGTAGAAGCCAGAAAGGTTCTTGTTTATCTTGTAGAAAGATTCCTGCCCCACACCGGGGACAGAATCTGATTTAGATACCAGAGCACCCTTATTTGTGTCAGACGCCTCACGGGCCGACTGAATACCTAGCGGAATCCACCATGTTGTTTCGTCCTCCTCTGGTTTGGCATCACCTGTCGAGAGAAAGCGGTTTTGCCGGATGTTGATTCGACCCGGCTCCTCGGTGATAGTGATAACAGGGAATCCGATCTTGCGAATCCAAGGATCCTACACCACCTATTAGTTCAAGAGACCTCAATTGAACTCAAAAACATTACCATGAAGCTAGTTACATCCTGGTTGGATGCCTTGCTTAGAGCCGACCAAAGATCATTTGTGGTAGCATTGCCTGTACAGTATCAAAATCAGCAACCCCATATTCGCAAGCTTGTTGCATTTGCCAACTTGCCGTAAGCGTGTGCCTTGAGATACGCAGCTACACCGCGTAGAAAGGTCTGTCGGCCGAGGTGATCACTCAGCATGCGAATGACCGAGCTTCCCTTCAGATAGCTGATGTGATCGAAGATCTGATCCACCTCGAGAGCGTTTCTGACAGGTACCTCAATCGGATGTGATGCCCGCAAAGAGTCAAGCTGGAAAGCTTGTTGGACACCCTCAGCCTGTGTGCCGGTCAACATAGAACCAACATGTGGAGTTACCTCGGGAATTGCGCACAACAAATTGAGACCAGATATTCCATTCTGGATGTAGAATCTAGGTTAGTTCTATTCAACAATGACCACACGATGGCCAATACTTACCAGGATAGAAGTGGTCAACAGCAAGCCAACCGACCCAAGTTGCAAACCCTTCGTTAAGCCATAGTTCGTTCCACCAATCCATCGTAACGAGGTTGCCAAACCATTGATGAGCCAATTCTGGGAGCATTACAGGTTACATATGAGGTGGTATTGCCTTGAAAAAAGAAAGACTTACCGTGCGCGACCACATAAGCAATGCGGTTCTTATACCTGGTATCGGACTTGCCCTCTTCAAAAAGCACAGCAGTTGTTCGATACGTTACGAGTCCCCAGTTTTCCATAGCACCCATCGCCTATACAGCATTAGTAGGCTTGTTTGATGTCTTAAAAGCGTGAAGGAAGGTTGTTCACAAATTCATGGACAGCGAGAAGATCCGCCTTGGGCAAGGGATATTCTATCTCGAATATCTCGGAGAAGTAGTCAACGGTGCGATGAGCACATTCTAAAGCGAATCGAGCTTGTTCTTTCAGACCTCTGGTTGTATAGACACGGACAGGTATACTCTTTCCTTGATATTTGCGTTCTGTCATCGCCTCCACGTATTCGAAATCGCCAATTGCCCATGCCAGAAGCTGGATTTAATGTTAGAGGGAATCCTGGCCGAATCACTGGAAAGACTCACATATGTGCTCATGACGGGAGTTCTCTCAAAAGAGACAACTTTGAGTCCCGGCTTACGTCCAGCCCTCTCATCTTTAATAGGCATGTTGCTCAGAGCAGTTTGACAAGTGGGCACCTCGATCTCAAAATCAAAAGTAGCTTTCAGATTTGGTTCGTCGAAGCATGGGAAAGCCCGACGCGCGTCACAAGACTCGAATTGGGTACTCAACATGTAGTGGAAGTCTCCTTCTTTGGGTGTGTCTCCAGCTGGTTCCACAACAGGGGTGTATTTAGAGCGGTAGAACCCAGCCATCGCGTTGTTCATAGTTCCGGTAAAATTCACCGAGAGAAGAATATTTGAGGGTGCAATTTCCGACGGGAACTTGAAAGTCACCCGCTCTGAGGTTCTATCATAGGTGATCTCGGATGCTTCGGACAATTTGGTCCCTAACGCAGGCTGTCAATATTATGGCAAAGGGAACAATTGTGAGCAGAGCCGGGTGCAGGTGATGACGGACCATCTTCGCCATGTATTTCGACTTTCTGAACCTCGATTTCCTTCGAGTTGAGCACAATCTCCTTCGTAGGGCGGGTGACTCTGGCCTTAACCCTGATGACACCATTATAGCCCCAGGAACCACTGAACTGTAGATCGAACAAAGACACATCGTAATGGACTGGGACAGCTCTGTGCTCGTCGTTAGAAAGGTGTCTTTTGAGAACCGTAGAGTCACGGTTTGCAACTCACACGTCCGGGAGGACATCTCTGTCCTTTGATGCCATTGTGCGGGTGCGGAAATCAGAAGAGCAACACCTTGCGGAGGACGGATGGCCAGCAGGCGTGAGGGTAGGATGCAAATGTGTGCGCGGGGAGAGCGAAAGAGCCGATATATGGCGGGAACGCGAGGAAGCGAAGGAGGGGGGGCAGGGGAGGGGAGGGGAGGGGCAGTAGAGGGAAACTGGTCGGACCGGCTGATAAACCAGAAATCGTCCACGGATTGGAGCTCTGACACCAGTACGTGTACATCTGGCTGGCGACGCTGTGGCGGCTGTGCTTCTGACGGGACACCTTCTTCCCCACATTTATGCTAATGGTATCTGGATCTGGTCAAACGAGCCTAAATTGGGCAAATCTCTGTCTACGGTCATCTTCAGCCCATGCCACCAAGCCTTATTTACTTGTGACGATACAGATATGGGGTGGTACGCATACATACAAGTAATTCAGATAATCCGGAGTGGGGAGGAGATTGCAATGAGGGTAAGAATCCTGAGAGCCTGGAGACAGAATCACTTCATGGTGTTTTACAGAAGGCTCGGGTAAAGACTGAAAGGCAGAGTGGGAGTGGGGAGGGGAGGAAATCGTACGTAAACGAAGCCTAGTAAGTAAGAATGATATGAACCCAAGAGTCAAGCAAATTTTAGTACTCCATAGTTATTCAATGATTATTATTTTGTTCCGTCAGGACACAGACCGGAGCTCCGACGGAGCTTGGACCCTTTTCGGGAGATGAACGTAATTCCTGCTTATTTCATTATCTAATCACGGCCGAAGGATGGGTTAGTAGTAAGTTACTCTTCCTAGTCGAACTACACAATATTCCTACTGCATGCACTATCTAAGAATACCTTACAGAATTGATACTAAAGGTGTCTAACCACAACACACTAGTCCCAAAAACCGCTAAAGCCGATCTTTCAAGCATCTTCACCTACCCTGTTCGTTCGCTTTGATCCCAGATCCGTCCTTCGCAGCCTTCAAAGTTCTAAACATGGCCGATTCCGATGAAGAGTATGCTGGAGAAATCTCCGAGGATGAGGTAGATGGCAGTCATATCTCATCTCGAGGCGGAGCCGCTCAACCGCCGCGTTCAAAAAGGAAGAAAAATCGCGGAGGCGCCGAATGGGAGGTCTCAAGGACTTGGGAGAGTTTGGTCGAAGGCGCAGATGGCACGATCAATTCCACAGTAGAGGGCCTGCTTGAAGCTGGGAAAAGGAAGAGGTTAGCTTTTCTTTTCTCTCACTCTTGATGCATGTCGAAGGCGAAAACAAACGACATTGAATACAGGTGGGTTATGGTGAAGCTGAAAATCTTCACAGACTTCTACGGGACACCACTCCACTACAACGAGGCATTATCCGCCACCTTATCCTGATTCTTGATTTGTCACACTCAATGGCAGAAAAGGATTTACGGCCAACGCGATATCTCCTGTCTCTGCGCTATGCCCAAGAGTTCGTCAGAGAATTCTTTGAACAGAACCCGATCTCTCAGTTGGGTGTGCTTGGCCTGAGGGATGGCCTCGCAGTACGGGTTAGTGATATGAGTGGAAACCCTACTGAACATATCAGTGCAATTCAAGCCCTACGAGAGCATGACCCGAAAGGTCTTCCTAGTTTACAGAACGGGCTTGAAATGGCTCGAGGTGCTCTCTTGTATGTTCGCACCATCCAGAGTATTGGCGCAGCTAATTTGCGCCTACAAACCACACAAACTAATCCATGTTTCACAGTCATACTCCCACTCACGGTACCCGTGAAGTCTTGATCATCTTTGGTTCCTTGCTCTCCTCTGATCCAGGTGATATTCACCATACCATAGCAACTCTGGTTAGCGAAAAAATCCGTGTTGGCATCGTGGGCCTTGCTGCTCAAGTAGCCATCTGCCGCGAGCTTTGCTCTAAGACAAATCATGGCGATGATGAAACGTACGGCGTGGCTCTTAACGAGCAGCACTTTCGTGAATTATTAATGGGCGTCACCACCCCTCCGGCCACGTTTTCTCAAAGGCAGTCCGCAAGTTCCCTCCTGATGATGGGATTTCCATCCCGTTCTGTCGAAGCCCACCCTTCTCTTTGCGCGTGCCATTCGAATGCTTCTTGTGGGGGCTATTCCTGCTCTCGATGCAATAGCAAAGTTTGTGGCCTTCCTGCCGAATGCCCTTCTTGCAGCCTAACACTAATCCTTTCCACGCATCTTGCTCGGTCTTATCATCATCTTTTCCCATTGATGAACTGGGTCGAAGTTCCATGGGCGCGAGCCTCGCGTAGCCTGGCCTGCTTCGCTTGTGGTATAACTTTCCCCCCAGTGCCCCCTAGAGATCAATGGCAGGCCGCAGATGTACAGTCTAGAGGGATGAGCGTAAGCAGTCGCTATGAATGCACCGTGTGCCGTAACAATTTCTGCATTGATTGTGACCTTTTTGCTCACGAAATTGTGCACAATTGCCCTGGTTGTCAAAGCGAGACCACATTGTCAACAACGTCTGGGCTGCTTCAGGTAATTGACAGAATGGATACATCGGCATAACCTGGTCGACATCATTCACAATACTACGGGACCTTCCGGTTCAATGACCTACTTCATACAGGAATTGCACATCTCCGTAAGCCTTACACTGTAGATACTGGTGCAGAAAAAAACCATCAAAGTCAGTTTTGGGGATGTTAGATCCGCGGCTACCATATGGCCACTCTGCACGGAATGCGGTTATTCTTGCAGGTTGGCTCTGGTGTGGTGTCATGGTGATGCAGTAGGCACATCCTTCACTACAATCCGCATGTGACAATCTGAGCGAGCGGATATCCGGTCATGAAAGAGGCCAAGGAGTGAGTCGAAGATGGCACCGATACTTTAGGAGGTAGCAAGCTTGAATATCTGTGTCAAAGAAATCACTTGAATATTGAAACAAGCTACCAAGTGCTGTGGCCTTGATTCGATTATTGGATTTCGTAGTGGTTGCGGAATAGACAGACCTCGGCTAGTCTTGTATTCTACTCCGTACCGCTTGTCACAAAACCCAGATTCACATGCCGCAGTTCCGCTTGTCTTGACGCTTCAATTGACAAGCATCCGATACATCACCTTTGACATTAGCTCATGTCCGATATAGTACGCATTGGCTCCTCAATACGGTCATGAATCCCACGCGTACACCTGCTGTGTGGGAGGCTTCAATCCAGTCTTCAGGCAAAGAGGCAGTTCCTCCGCCTGGAGTCGAGCAGGAGAAGTGGGACACTGAGCTCTTTGAAAGACTCAGTTCCTATCCATTCGAGGACGATCATGAGTTTGCACACGGGCTCTCGATAATTCTCGGGCACCCTGAGATACCAGCGTCAAGGGCGGAGATTGACCGGAACGATGACGTTACGTTACAGGCTAAATGTTTCTACTTCTCGAGGTTAGAACTTTCAACAGAAAATTTAGAAACCATAGCTCTAACCATGACTGTCGTTGCTCTCACGGTTCAGAAAAGAGAAACTCCCGACTCCCGTGAACGTCGGAAATTATCAACTATGGTTACAAGCCAGACCAGTAGCAGCTGAAGCTGCTGGTCCTGTAAACCAGCAGCAACTCAACAATGTGGTATCTGAAGACCATGCAAATGCGCCGTTGAAGCAAGCAGAACCCGCGTATCCCTCCTCATTCGCTCATATAGTCGAACTCATTACGACCGGGCAACCCATACCTGGAATTCAGCAGATCCCAGACACTATACTTGCTGGCCAAGATACTCCAAGTGCCAGGTCGAGGAGACGGAAGCCGTGGGAGCTGGAAAGCGGCGAGCATGTTAGCAGATGAATGCCGACTACGGGCTGGTTTTCAAAACCGTACTCAACCAGCCAAGTTGATTCCTTGCCTTTAGTGGATGACCGATTGGGCCCTCATCAGTATGTGAGATCAGTAGTCCGATATGTCATATTAGTTCATAGGTAACAATAAGAGCTTCTGCAAAGTAGGTAGTAAAGTGGCAATAATTCATGATTTGTCGTAAACCAACCTCTCGCACAAGCAATTGTATTTTGACGGCACCTTCCTTGTCTTCTCCTCACACTTGAAACAATGAATGAAAAAGAACATAGGTAATGTAGCATCGACATCATCCCATCTCGCTAATTCTCCTGGTCGCTTCTCTTCTTCACCTCTTCGCCTTGCTCCAGGTAGATATAGGAAAGAGCTGTCCTGGATCATGAGCCACAAAGAACCAGCATGGTGCTATAGGAGCGCATATGAAAGAATAATATGTGAAATTCGTCTGACTTGGACAAGATGAATCACGCACAAAGCGCAGTGCAGCCCTTCGAAGCGTAACGATCAAAGTGGATGTGTGCAGGCCACTGGGCATCTACCTAGAACAAATCGATGTGGTAGGTTTGTTTGTATCTCTCGTCACATGATTGAAAGAATGGGTTTCATTCTCGATACTCTTTTCTTCACATCGTGGTCATCGAAATGGTGGGTAGTTGGGGTTCCACTGAGTTGCGCGACTGAAACGTCCGCTGTGTTGTCCAGGCATCTGGTATCTTTCGTCGCTGAAATTGCCGAAACGATTGACCGAAAGGCCGGCACCTGGCCCGGGACGAGTTGTGTGAGAAGGGTTACAACATAGCATGGCCACGCGGGAACCGAACTTAGAGCCACGCAAGGACACCATGTGTTTTCTACACGTCACGTCAGGACGAAGCACGACGTTATTCAGCAGATGAGTGAATACCTGATATGGCTGGCAACCAACTCACGCTGGTGCGGTGCGGCATTCATCAATATCCATTGAATAAGGTAATTGCCATATTGGTCCCCAGCAACTGAACTAAGTCAGACAGCCACAAACAATAAGTAGTTTACGCAAGGACTTACTATCAATCAAAGGCATCCTCGGGCGATCACTGCGGCCTGTGCATACTCGAGCAAGGTAGCGATCTAGGAACTCGGAGCCACCTATCTTCAGGCATTTCTCCACAATCTTCGAAGCAAATTGGTCCATGCTGTAATCAACTGACCAAGCAAGAATGTGCTCAACGGCGCGGCTTTTGTCGTGTGGAGCACCATGTTCGCAAACATGCTGGATACACCAGTTTCCAAACTGACCGTGGGCAAGTATGTCGATCTTCGATAACACCTCTTCGATAGCAGGGCGCTGTGCATCGCGTTAGCAAGCATTCGGCTGGGCTCATTGACTGTCCTATGAGCAGCCTGCTCCAGCTTCCCTAGGGTCATTGAAGAACCTCAGAGAACAAAGAAGAGAATAATCAAGTATCACCTTTTCGTCCTCGACGCAATTTTCGAATATGTTCTGCACTACCAAACTTCCCGTCTCGCCCAATGCGACTTCGTGCCACATCCCGCATAGTGCTTCGTTTACTTTACTCATGATCTGCGGGGGTTCTCCGCTCCATCGCAATTCGAACAGCTTCTGCCAGACATGGCATGCGTACCTATGAATGACAGTTTCTGGTATTCGCCGCAGAAGTTCATGGACCATAACCGCTTTATGCTCTTCTGGGACGCAGTCAAAGGCCTTTTGTATCACATGGCAACCGAAAGGATCCATACTTAGGCTCAGGGTATTTCCTTTGATAGCATTGGCAATTGCAATGATCTGGTCGGGGGTTCCATGTTCGAAGCAGCGTTGCACGAGAAAGTTCCCGAAGCGGTTCACCATGAGCGGATATGCTTGATGTACAATCGCCTCTATGATTTTATACTTTTGCTCGGTGGTCCCAACCTTGAGCTTTTGTTGTAGGAATATTGAAGCTTGCTGGTCGTTATTACATACGATCTTATCGACTATATATTTCCAATCGCAAGAAACATTTTTGTCAAGCAGTCGTCGGTAGTTGATTGGTTCCAATGGTGAAATGTACGTTTGGCTGGGATTTGTGCCCACCTAAATCCATAAGCTCAAGTCAAAGCGACAGGAAGGTGGAACGTCTCTCACCGACGAGGCTTGCCATGAGTTAGACGTATTGAACTCTGTGGCTGTTGGTGAGAGTGGGGTTCCAATTGGGCGTTGATGGTATGTATGCATTGGATACAGTCCAACTTGTTGTTGGTAAGCACCGTTGGACCTTTCCATGGAAGATTTTGAAAGAGTTGACTCGGGACTTGACGCAAAAGCAGCTGGCCATGGAGTACCGTGGCTTGAGAAGCATGGTCCGCCACGGCTGTTCTGGGTGATTGAGCGCCGCAGTCCTAGCCCTGGAGCTTGAAGGTACCTAACTTGTTCCTCAGGGATACTTGCATCAAGGGTGAAGGATCCCGGGGCTGGACCTGAGAAAACTCGGTGTGACTGAAAAACATCGTGGCTCGGCACGCAAGGGTTTGTACTCGAGCCAGCCCAGAATCTGTTAGAGTCCTCGCCATAGGTACTGTTATAAGGCAAACGGAATGGCTCTCCATAAGGGATTTCCATGGTCGGGCTCATGTTTGTGCTCATCGCTTGCTGGGTTGTAGATGTCCAAAATGCCCGATTCCTGTTGTATGCTCCAGCAGAGAGAGCATCAGACATGTCGGACTGAGAGTCATCTTGCGTATTCCAGCTGTCCTGGATAGAGGTAAAGCCTGTTTGCGACGCTTTGAATGCACTTTGCAAATTGGAGATTGTTTGTTCCGTTACTTCTCGTCCATTGAACTCGGCTTCAGAAGGGGGTCCGAGTGCTTGGTCTATTGTATGTTTGATCACTCGAGTCTGGGCTAATTCCTGCTCTTGCAGGGCTATCTTTGAGTTGGCAGCCAGTAGTTCCTGCTTCAACCGTAACACCTCGGCCATGTCGATGTGAGCTGCCTGCGACGGCTCAGTTTCAACCAGGTCAATTGATGTGCGAGTAATTTCTCCTGATGGTAAGCTGCTGGGAGACTTGTCAAGGTCTGCATGACCATCACCGAAGTCTGGATTTGTCTCATCGTCAAACATGTGATGGCTATGTCGCTTCAGTAATTGTTGCTCGCTAGGTATCCTTGAAAACAGGCTCTGGTCCACGGGTAGCTTGACCTCGGACGGCTGAGGCTTGGGAGAAAGCTTGGCTAATATCCTGTCCATCTCGGTGTGGGTATCTGGGGAGACAATATTGAAATGCTCCAACTTCTGCTTCTAGGCCTGTGAGATCTTGGACTAATGGCATTAGTCGCGAAATTCTGACCTTGCTTGATGGGACATCATGGTAAAAGTCATCCGCCGCGGTTTGACTGCCTCCGGGAACAGACGATCTCAGAGACTCCGACACACTGGCTGGAGCCTTGGAATGTGCATGGCTCTAAGATTGACGTACTGGTGTCAGAACTATATAGCTACTGCATCGTGTTTGTTTAGAGACTCACTGAAACCTCGCCTTCGAGATTTAGTACATGGAAAGTACTCGCAACACTGTGAGGAAGGCCACTGTCGGTGCGGTTCAGCTTGGACGATGCTATTGACATGAGAGACATCATGTGTCGAGTGCCGCCTAATTGAAGTTCTGCTTCAAAATTCGCGACGGTGCACCCGTCCAATATCACACGTGAGAGCAGGTGGCTGGAGCAGTCGAGAGTCAAATTATGTCAATCGCTTTGCAAGGAATGTATAGGTGGTCGTTATTTGAGGATGGACCGGAACGACAATAACTATTGGTAAGATACGACCAGATCTCATCCAGACAAAGGCAGGGTAGATAGTCACAATATCGGAAAGAGGATATATGAAGCCTTCAGTATCCCTACCGGCCTGTATACTGCACGTATAGCGGGCTTAGTGCTATGATTCGGCAGCAGCGACGGGGAGTATTGGTTGGTACCTACCTAGTAGAATGAAGCCCCGAACTTAGTAGCAATGATTGGAGGAAGTCGCGTGCGAAGGGCCGCTACCAATAAAAGGTATCTGCAGAGTTGGTAAATCAAGTTACCTACCTACCTAAGTAGTGTCATCATGTCTATCAGTATGTCAAAGAAAACGACGGAGGAGGATGGTTATCAATCTTTGCGTTGCAATAGCTTGATAGAGCAGAAGACTGTCCTGAGAAGTTCACTATAATTTACGGAATACTCTATTTGAAGTAGGTTTTCATACTCACATAGTAAGAGGTATACATACATTATGTACGATCAAAAGTAAGACTCTGTGCATGCATAAGTACTATGTATATAAGATGGTGCAGTAGCAGGGTGCTCGCAACCTATAGTCCTATACCAACCTACCTACCTACAGTACCTTCTCCTTTTAGAATGGTGCAAAGGGTATGACTTTTTACTATCCTTGACTATCTATAGGTATTTTACTCACATAGCATTACTGTAATAGTGTTATTAACATAGATCCGTACCATAGTGCAAGGCTAGTAGATTATTTCAATCAAATGCTAAAAACTTATACGGAGGGGCTAGATAGCCGTATACCGATTTTTGTTGTGTATATATATCTGCTTGTTTTTTTTTTCAAGCAACTCTTCACTACTGTAGTATTCTAATACTATTATACTGTCACTATAGCCATGTACTACGGGCCTGTGGCCTGTTTCTGTAGCGATTTCGACAAAGCTCACTTGTAGGCAATGTGGAATAATTTCTTAGTAGACATTGGCTGTTATTGCTAACACTTTATTCAAGAATACTGACAGTTATATGCCTTGTAGTACTGTTACTAAAGAGCATATTCAAAACCCAAAGCTTAAAGAAAGGTTTGGGGAAGGGCCTATACCTATTCTTTTAGTAGTATAATATAAGCTCACCTAGAAGAAACAACTTTCTCAAATCATATTACCAGAACATTTTTCTTATCTTAGGCGTAAATATATAACTCTACGCTGATAAATGGAGTACATTTAATTATATATAATATCTAAATACCTAGTCAATATTATACACCACGTTTACTATACAATGTGCTGTACTTGTAAACACCTTTTTCAACTATATATTACTGAAACTTCAAAGATTATACAGGTAGAGTAGGATGACTGGCTACTGCAGGTAACAATTTCTTTTCTTAGGCGGCGTATCCACAATATAAAGAGAGTGGACTACGGAGTACAGTGTACTGTACAAGTAAATCAAAAGTGTTAAGTGTTAACTTACTAACTAAACTAATATAAACTAGTTAACTACATGGTTAGTTAGTTAGGTGTATGTAGTTAGTCAGCAGGTTATTAGTTAGTTAGTTACATAACTAACTACAGATGAAAAGTGAGAAGAGATTCGTCATCCAGTACTCCGCCGCCGGTCCTGGCAAATACTACTAACCAACTGCGGATACTATTTAGCGCTGCCGCGGGTTGGACTAACTCGAATATTCCCTACGTATCACGTAGTCCTACTCTAACTTCTTCTTACTACTCTACAGATCTTTTTTCACGCAACGAGAGATACTGGCTGGTTGAACACTAGTGCTGGCCTTCTACCAGGTACTGCTTCCGACCCTTACAAGCGTCTACTTGACATACCCTATACTTATCTACAGGCTAGCTTGTTGCCAATTGCTCAGAACTTCTTAAACCTGGCTTTGATGAAGACTACCGATGTTGCCGGCACCTCACAAATTGCGAATGCCACGTCCCTCATTCTTGTCTATTCTCAGAGCACTGCCATTATCTCATCATCACTGTGGCGCGTGCGATCGTCTACTTTCTAGGCGCAAAACTTGGTCCTCGCTCATTAGCTTTGATTATCATCAGCCAGACTTCGCCTTTTCTGGTACGGTGTTACACTTATCCACCCGGCTTGAACCTAGCTAATATCGCCAGCAACAGCACCTCTATTGAGATATTAGTACCAATACTCGAATGAGCACGACGGTCGTGACCGGTACAGGGCGACGCTCGTCTGTGTTGCTCTCAGAGCTACAGATGCCAGCAAATACACCCGGTTCACAACAAAAGCACATGACTAGCCCGATAGACAAGTTCCCGCCGTTCAGTGACGATTCGTTCGATACAATAACGGAGTCAAGGGAACACCACTCGGGTTCATCAGTCAGATATGCGCCGGCACGTTTGGAGCCGCGCAAGACAGGGCAATTTCCGTATGACGAGAAAGCAGTATTCGCTGGGAATACAAGACAACGGTCAAGAAAGAGTATCAGCGAGACAATCAGCACGATTAGGACTCGCAATGGTAGCGTGAGTGCTAATGCTCAGGAGCTGGCTGAAGCACTGAAGGCACCTGTCTCATACAGGTTAATTGTAATGATGCATGCATGCTTATATGTCCTAGCTATGCTGACCTGCTTCTAGACTCTCTGTCTCATTTGGTATCTAACCTCGGCTCTAACGAACACCTCCTCAAAGTCGATTCTGAACGCGCTGCCCAAGCCAATAACCTTAACCATGGTACAATTCGCTTTCGTGTCTTTCTGGTGCCTGTTGTTGTCGTCTGTGTCCAAAATGCTACCTTCGCTCAAGGATAGCATACCAGCACTTAAGCATGGAATCCACACACCATCACGCGATATCATTGTTACTGCTTTGCCTTTAGCAATTTTTCAATTAGCCGGACATATTCTCAGCTCCATGGCCACTTCACAGATACCTGTCTCACTTGTTCACACCATCAAGGGACTATCACCCCTTTTCACAGTCATGGCATATCGTGTGCTATTTCGAATTCGCTACGCCAGAGCGACATACTTGTCCCTCATTCCGTTGACCCTCGGCGTCATGCTCGCGTGTTCTACAGGGGTTTCCACTAATTTCTTCGGCATTTTTTGTGCGCTAGTCGCAGCCCTCGTCTTTGTGTCACAGAACATATTTTCGAAGAAGCTGTTCAACGAAGCGGCACGAGCAGAATCGAACCTTGAGCCGACAAGCCGGCGAAAACTGGACAAGCTGAACTTGCTTTATTACTGCTCTGGTCTAGCTTTTGTCCTGACCCTGCCCATCTGGTTTGTCTGCGAAGGATACCCATTAATATCAGACGTCATGAAGGATGGTGCGATCTCCCTCACAGGAAAGGAGGGCTCTCTTGACCATGGTGCTCTGTTTCTCGAATTCGTATTCAATGGTGTATCGCATTTTGCACAGAACATCTTGGCGTTCATCCTTCTATCTATGATTTCGCCTGTGTCATACTCCGTTGCATCATTGGTCAAGCGAGTGTTTGTTATTATCGTTGCGATCGTTTGGTTCGGGAGCTCAACAACACCTGTACAAGGACTTGGAATTCTCCTCACATTTGTTGGGCTCTATCTATACGATCGCAACAGCCATGATGATTTAGCCGACCAGAGAGCCAACGCGGATCGCTTCCGCGTCAAGGAAACGGTGCTTCCGTTGAACGTACGGACACCAGCGAGAGCCAGAGAGCCCATTGGCTTCTCTCCAGCAGCAAGCAAATTCCCGGATCATCAATCCTTGGGCGATCCACTCTCGCATACAAATGACTTGAAGAAGGTGCATGACGGACCGGGCTATGTTCGTCCAAGAGGAAGCAGTACTTCCCGCGCTTGGTTGGCTCCTGGCATCCGACAACCAGACTACATGGCACCGTAGTGATTCCTAGGCATAATTGCGCCTTTCATTCCTGTCGCCCCTTGTTCTTACATCTTAATCGCATTTTGCCTTCGGCACTCGTCTAATCGGATATTGAAAACAATTGAGGTAGCAATAATGTTGACAATGTTGTGATGTACCCAATCACCGTCTGGAGAATGATGAAGGCGCTACGACCATACCTTTGTTAGGTGGCGTGCCTACAAGGCTAGGAAAGATAATTGAGACGCGACAATTACCTGCTTTAAGTGCACATACATCAGCTTTTACATCCAGAATCTAAGTAGCGGCGTGCGATGACTGCCTGGAGATATTGTCCTCAGAGTTGATGGTTGTAAATTTGGTTATAAGTTTGAGAGATGTAGCAACTGTCAGTAAAGAACGATACCTGCATCAGGCTGACTCATTTTCACTGATGTGAAGACGAAAACAGCCCTAAGGAGCTCCAGCTCAGTGCAAATGTTCTAGGGCTATGTAGCAGAGGAGGAAGAGACATCAGAACCCTGCCACCTACAATAACCATGCCCATGAAATGAGTTTATAAGTCTGAAAAGGAAAAGGAAGAAGAAGGAGGTCGGAGAGACAGAGCTTGTTTATACGAAGAAAAGAGGCGTTCCGGAGGATTTATTTTGCCGTATAACCGAACCAATCCGCAGGCGGCAATTTGCGAGTGACGCCCCGACTCGTGTCTAGCAGAATCCGAGCCAGACCAAAAGTGCTCTCTCCAACGAAGGACCACTTCACCTCAGTCCTGCCACTTTGTAACTACCTACTCTCCAGGTGGATGCCGCTCTTGTTCACCCTTATCACATTTGACTCTCGTCACATTATGCGGCCGCAGTTGTATCGTGCGGCCGCCCGGCTCGTCCGGGTCCCAAAGGTCAACCATCTCAGGACCTTCGCAACGACATTTCCTCGCTCTGCCGAGGTGGAACTCACTATTGGTCAGTCTCTGCGATATTGAAGCCACTTCAATGCCTCCACTAACGCATTGCTTCAGATGGAAAGAAGGTTTCGGTAGAAGGTGACTTGGTCTCCCTTGTGCAATCTCTGAACTCCCTTCTTACATGACCCGAACAGCTGGCTCGGCTCTCATCCAAGCTTGTGAAAAGGCAGGTGCGACAGTACCAAGGTAAGAATAAGTACTCAATGAAGATATGGTGAGCGCAAATTAATTAACTTCCATAGATATTGTTATCACGAGTAAGCCACCAGCATCATATCGTCTTTTATAACAGAACGACACGCATTGCTAATAGCTTTCCAGGAAGCTTTTGATTGCAGGTAACTGTATGTTTGAGCTCGGGTACTTCTCTGTTTTGATACAAATATTGACTATCTCACAGGCCGTATGTGTCTCGTCGAAGTCGAACGGGCCCCTAAGCCTGTGGCATCATGTGCTTGGCCTGTGCAACCTGGCATGAACGTCAAGACCAATTCGCCACTGGTGCATAAAGCTAGGGAAGGTGTTATGGAGTTTCTTCTTGCCAATCATCCTCTGGATTGCCCTATCTGCGATCAAGGTGGAGAGTGTGATCTTCAGGACCAATCCATGCGGTATGGTGCTGACCGTGGACGTTTCCACGAGGTCGGAGGCAAGCGTGCTGTTGAAGACAAGAATATTGGGCCTCTGGTTAAAACCTCTATGAATCGCTGTATTCACTGTACGCGTTGTGTTCGATTTATGAATGATGTTGCCGGAGCCCCCGAACTCGGAACCTCCGGCAGAGGAAACGACATGCAAATCGGTACATACTTGGAGAAGAACCTCGACTCCGAGCTTTCTGGCAACATCATTGATCTTTGTCCAGTTGGAGCTCTTACATCCAAGCCCTACGCTTTTCGTGCTCGCCCCTGGGAATTGAAGCACACTGAGTCTATTGACGTGCATGACGCTTTGGGGTCGAACATAAGAATAGACACTAGAGGCATGGAGGTGATGCGGATACTCCCGAGGCTGAACGATGATATCAACGAGGAATGGATCAACGACAAATCTCGATTTGCTTGTGATGGCCTTAAGACTCAGAGACTCACAACGCCTTTAATTCGTCGGGAAGGAAAATTTGTTCCCGCGACGTGGGAGCAAGCTTTGACCGAGATATCATCAGCTCATCAGCGACTTCATGTGACGGAGAATGAGTTCAAGGCTGTTGCCGGGCATCTTGTCGATGCCGAAACCTTAGTGGCCATGAAGGATCTGGCCAATAAGCTTGGGTCCGACAACCTTGCGCTGGATCAGCCAGGTGGCGGTTCACCGGTTGCCCATGGTGTTGATGTTCGCTCCAACTATCTTTTCAATTCCAAGATCTATGGAATTGAGGAGGCCGATGCGATCCTTTTGGTCGCTACAAACCCCCGCCATGAAGCTTCCGTTCTTAATGCGCGTATTCGCAAGCAATATCTTCGCTCAGATCTTGAAATTGGGCTTGTTGGCGAGGAATTCGAAAGTACTTTCGAATTCGAGCACCTCGGGGCAGACGTTTCCGCTTTGAAAGCTGCTCTTTCTGGAAAGTTCGGAGAGAAGCTTTCTACGGCCAAAAGACCTATGATCATCGTTGGCAGTGCTGCGGTTGAACACGCGGATGCCAAAGTGATCTTTGAGTCCATCGGTAATTTCGTTGAGAAACACGCTAACAACTTCAATACTTCGGAATGGCAAGGATACAACGTTCTTCAACGCGCAGCATCCCGTGCAGCTGCCTATGAAGTGGGCTTCACTACGCCATCTTCAGAAGTTACTCGGAGCAAGCCCAAGATGGTCTGGCTTCTTGGTGCTGATGAAGTCGCCCAGAGCGAAATCCCTAGTGACGCCTTTGTCATTTACCAAGGACATCATGGTGACCGAGGCGCTCAGCTTGCGGATGTTGTTCTGCCCGGCGCAGCGTACACTGAGAAGTCAGGTACCTACATCAACACCGAGGGTCGTGTCCAAGTTACTCGAGCTGCAACTTCTTTGCCTGGGGCTGCGCGTGATGACTGGAAGATCATACGTGCTGCCAGTGAATTCCTAAACATACCTCTTCCATACGATGACATCGAGGCCCTGCGCGACCGTATGGAAGAGATCAGCCCTGTTATGCGCCGATATGACGTGGTTGAACCAACATCGATGAGCTCATTGAGCAAGGTCCAATTAGTTGATCAAAACAAGGGCATCCAATCCACTAATACGCTTTTCAAGAAAGTCATCAATGATTTCTATTTTACTGACTCAATCTCTCGGAGGTACGTGCTTGACATGGCCCCCACCCCTGATGCTTATTGCCTGAGGTAAATTGCTGCTTGTGGTCTAACTCTGTCTTAGTTCTCCGACTATGGCTCGTTGCTCTGCCGCTAAAGCTACCGGAAATCCGGAGACAAACTTCATGGCTGCTGGGGAAATGTCCCCGAAGGCTTTGTATGGCTAGATGCCAGGTTCTCACTATTACTCCGGTTTCTACTTATTGTCTGGTGGTCTAGGCGTTGTCGTTGTAACACCTAAACAACTTTCCTCTTTGTTGCTTTTGCCCTAGTCCAATGTTATTCTACTTAAGTACTGTTCTTTCGCTTCGCGTTGTCTCATAGCTCCCAATTCCGCTTAGATAAGTCTCAAACCACAGCAGCTGTGGTTAAGTTGTACATAAGAAAATTTGAATGATAGCTGGAGGTACGGCAAGCCCGCAATATCCTTATCTCAACGCCGGGGTATTGTCTGTCAGATGTGAGTGTCCACATTGCGCATTGATAAGTTAAGACTTGCTATGCTTGGATTCCTCCAGGGATCATACAGAGAGCAAGTAACGGTCAAGAACCACTTTTGTATTGCCTAAAATGGTCTGGAACTTTGGCTACTATATTAATATTATAACTCATCATCATCTGTTTCCCCCATGCTGTCCCTGGCTTCTTTATTTTTATGTCGATCTGTTCGTATAGTAGCTGTCGCATTTCCCCTCATCCTCGGAAAGGGAATCTCTCGTCGCTGTGGAGTCAATTGTTTCTTGCTTAAGAACTGCGAATGAGTTTGTTGTGGGCTAGAGTTGCTTATCCGAGAACCATGACTTGGCAGGCGTGGTATGTCTTCGTCAGTAGACTCATCTTCCCCTGAGGGCCGCTGCCCCAGTGGTAGCTCATTGTCTGTGCCTGATTCTGTGCCTGACACCGCTTTAGAGCTTTCATGGCGCTTATCCCGGTCATCGTCCGAATCTTCGAAGCCGCTACCGCTACCGCTACCGAACACCTCATAAGACGGTGTCGAAGCTGAACCATTCGCTCGCCTCTTGACAGCAGTGGTTTGCCTGGATCCGCCCGGTCGTGGTTTGTGAGTTTTGAAATCTATTGGTTGCTCATTTATCAGCTTAGAAATATGTAGCATACCGCGGTTGGTACCTACCTTCCTCTACAGCAGCCTCTGTGGGGGCTACTACGCGCTGTTGGTTGCGGATTTTCAACTTTTTCTCATTGAGAAGCTGCATCAAGTTTTTCATTAGCTGTTCGTCGTGCCGAGTCTTGGCGCTTAAGAGCTCGTCAAGCTGGGCATCGAGATCCTTAATTCTCTGTTCAGCAGCGCGGTAGCGACCCAGGAGGATTGCACAACGTCTTTCGAAGGAATCAGCCCTCTCTACCGAAGTAGACGTCCAGTCATAGAGGTGGATGGCCTGTTCGTCGTTTTGCTTCAATACTAGAGTCCCGAGTTTTTGCTTCCTAACGTCAGTAAAGCGATTGGGTGGAGGCAGCATTAGACTTAAACATACAGTTATTGTTTGTACTTTCTTCCGTATCACGAGTTTTATCTCTTTGTCCTGGGTTTCGAGGCCACTGATGATGGCTAACGCTTCTAGCCCTGCAAATAAATCCTGTTCCTTCTCACATTGTTCTGCTTGCCCAAGCACATGGAGAATGATCTGAGTCCAGTCATCCTCAGTACCTTGATAATTCTTTGAGCGATACGAGTTGAGGTGAGACTGCCGTACTATCAGCAGAAAACATTAGCATGTGATGCGACTGATGGAAGAGGCGGTTTCCCTTCACTTGGAGGATAGCACACAACACATACCTGCCCCAGTAAACGGGCACTCTCCTTCTGTCCCAACAAGATCCAAGTCTAGTGCGGAAGGACCACGACGGGTAACGTGCAGCAGTACGCACGCTGTAGGTTCGTCGGATCTCGGAAAGCGCAGAATCCGGGGCTGGTCACTGTTGTTGATGGACATGTTAGACTACAGATAGGAGATCTAGGGGGAAGATTACAAGACACAGCTTGCTGCTTGCGGGTGAGATACGGGATAAGAAAGATTATTTGCAGTCCATTTGACTGTTCTTGGCACCCTTTGATATCCTGTAATAAATCATGAGGAGCGATAAGTTTAGTTAGCTAAGATCCAGTACTTACTAAGCATTCTAGGCAACCAACACTCTTGATTCCATTAGAATAGGCTCCCAATAACCTGATGTATTGATCTTACTCATATTCCGTAACTTACCAAATAGTGTTAACTATAACATAATCGGACACCGAGCCGGCGCGACACCGAGCTGGCGGCCGCCGCGCCGCGTCTTGCACCCCCAGTAACTTAAAGTTGAAGAACTCGCCCAAACCGCCCTATATTAAAATATCTTGTAATTCTTTTGGTGTTTCTCTTTATATATTAATATGGCCGATACAGATGAACGTTTAAATCTTGCTGTTAAGGCCTTTAAAAGTAGAAAGTTTGCTACAAAGGCTGCCTGCGCTGCCGTGTTTAATATTAAAATAAGTACTTTTAAAGATTATTTAAATGGCATTAAATTATATACTAAAAAAGATACTAATTATAGAAAGCTATCTACAATTAAAGAAAATACATTAAAGCAGTGGCTTTTTAATATAGCCTACCAAGGGCTGCCTTTTAAAATCTGTAATACTTAATTTTCTGCCCAGCTGCTATATTAAGCAAAGTTAAAGCTAAATTAACAGAGTACTATATTAGAATATTAGATTACTTACTTTATTAAATGTTATCCAAAATTAATATCTAAGTTTATATTAAAGTATAATTATTAATATGCTAAATATAAGGATCCTTATTTTATTTAAAAATAGTTCAACCTTATTTGTAATACAGTCCAAAAATATAGTATTTTTAATAAAGATATATAAAATATAGATAAAACTAGATTTTAGATAGAAGTTGTTTTAACTGCTTGTATAATCTATAGCTTAAAGATATAAAAATTATATACTAAGTATATACAGCTAAAAAACTATAAATAAGTAATTTTAATTATTATAATTTTAGCCTTAGAAACAGTACTGCTACTACAGATTATTTTTACAGCACAGAATTATTAATTAATATAGTATAAAGTCTGCCTAAGATTATATTATTTAAATATTAGTAAAAATGGCTGAACTACTAATAAACTTAGCTTTAACTGGCTTTAGAATATATTTAACAGATATACAGCTTTAAAAACTATTAGTAAGTATTGTATATTAATTTTTAACAGCTATAGCAGTTATACAATTTAGTAGTTTAATTAATTTTATACAGTATAAAAAATTATTTTTTTATATATACCAGCCTACTTATTATATAAACTGCAGCTGCTTAACATTATATACTTTAGGCTGTTAAAGAAGTTATATAGCTAGTATATATCTAAAACTATTTATTATAAAAAAAAATTAATTACTAAGCTTAATTTTTTATAGTTATATTATAGTATATATACTAAGATCTTTTTTAATATTAATATACTTAGTGGATTCTGTACTACCGGCCTTGTTTTTTTAAATCCTTAAAAGGTTCTTTTAATACTATAGATTTAATTAAAAATACCAAGTCTACCAATATTCTTATATTCTACTTAGTTTTTCTATCTCGGAAAAACGCCTGTAAATTTATATAAATTTAGAAGATAAAAATAAGAACTATAAAAACTTGCAGATTAAGACCTGGCATTAATAGTTTTATATAAAATTATTAAAAAAGTAATTAAGACTGCAAAATAGTTTATACAGAACACAGTTCTGCTTTAACAATAAGTTAAGCAGTTCTAGTCTATTTAAGCAAGTAAAAAAGGAAAGGAAAAGGCCTTATATTATTATATACAGCATAGAGGCACTTTAACAGGCCAAGAGGACTTTAATATAGCTCAGACGCAAGAAGTTAAAATAATTTAGGCTGCGGTACCAAGGCCGGCCAGGGTATACCGGCCAGCCCGCTGCAGTATATATAGAAAGGAAGAATACAATTGCTTAAAATACTCTTATAAAAATAATAAGAATTAATATATATAGCCTTTTATTAGTAGTTTAATAGCCTTAGAAAGCGGCCAGCGAGGCAGTCAGCAAGGCGGCGGCAGACCGCCGCCGGCTCGGTGTCGCGCCGGCTCGGTGTCCGATTATGTTACCTTGTGGGGGGCTCGCATAAGTTATTAATTATATGTACTGTGTATGTGTTCTCTTACTAGCAACCACCCCCGCTGACTTATATTCAAGTACCAGTTAGTAGCCATCAAAAGATCTATTCAGACCAGTCGACTTTGTTCATCAACACAGGGGTGAGAAAACATCCAAGAGTAAACTTGTTTGCTTGATTAGCAATTGACTCACTCAACGCACTCTGCGCTATTTAAGGTCATACCGAGTAATAGATACTTAGTTGGCTATGGAACTTGATGGCTCTCGCTACCCTTTACGGGTATCCGGCGGAAACTCTTTAGAATATTAGACTAGCTGTCAAAGCAATTAGTGATGTATGTTAATATCTGGATTTATTAACCGCCTTCAACCATCCATTCCACGTGGATAATATTCAGCGCATAGTCCTCGGTGGGTAGGTGCATGGTTTCTAGCCTTCAAGTTCTTTACACCCTTACCTCAGAGAAGGTGCTGCACATTACGGAGTACCCAAGCGGAATCCGTCCAGCCGCCGTCGCCTCCACCACCACCATCACCACCACCACCACCACTATCACGCGCCCACTATCTTGCACGGCTAGGAGTGCCGCCTAAGGTTTCGTGAATTTTGCGTACTCGACTCGCCTACTGAGTGTTATCTTCTCAATACTGTGCAAACATGTCAACCTGACGGCTGCTGAGACTGCAAATCCTATATATTCAATATCAGCGCCAAGCATATCTTACTGTTTTGATTATAACCCTCCTGCTCTCAATCTCATTTCTATGCTACTTCATCATTGACCTGCACGAGCAATCACAGGCTTCTAAAGGGTCCTTTGCTACTGCTATTGACGTTGCGTATACGAGCATCTGCCGATCGACTGGCCCTCTCCCGCGCGGGATGACTTGCTTCCTTCGAATTCGTGTCAGCGCTGGAGTGCCCTGAGCCTGTCATCAACCTTTAAAGACGCCCTTGACATTGTGCTACCTTTCGCAGATGGTCTCTTACGTGGAACATGGCTGCTTTGACCCTCGAATTACGAAGTGGCGACGAAGAATCGATTGAGTGTTGGGATGACGATGAAGACCTGCAATGCTATGAGGGATTCCAGCTGCGCGCGGCATCAAGTGCGACCTCTGTGACAAACTCATCGGTCCACCATTCAGTGCATCGGGACTCCATATCTTCTCGTCGCTCTGCACGCTCGGACTTGGAATCAAATGGCGGTGGCGATGAAGACTGGCAAGTTCAATTGCTGGATAACGATGAGGTGATCACTGAAGAGGCCATTGCCTCTGCTAAAAGCGCTGGAATACCTCTGCCTGTAAATGTTCCTAAATCAGCCCTTGTTGGTGGTACCATCAAACGCCTTGGATTGAGGAAAACCAACACAAATGCGGTCGACGATTGGGCTGATGACGTGGATTTTCCTGGTCCCGACGGAATAATGCAGTTGAGGGGGCCTTTGGATACGTCTTTTCCTGAGGCGCTACGACAAGTCAGCTCCGCTGCAGTAAGTCCTATTAAAGGATCGGCATCAGCTACATGGGATAGTGACATCTCAACTCGACTACAACCGGCCTTACCAATCCCAGCAATCTCCCAAATGGGCAACGACACGGACGACGCTCATGATATCCCCACAATCAAAGTTGCGAGACCTCGTTCGCCAGACAGACCCTCTCTTGTCAATAGTCTCATGTTTCATAAGGACCACCGTTCAGGAGACGATTTCGAGCAAGACTTTGAATTGCCAAACGATGATATTCCGCTGCGACTTGCTCCTCGCAAAGCCAATGCAGGGCCCTTTAGCCCTTCTACAGAAGAAATCGAGTTGGATTGGTCCGAAGGCAGTATTGGGGTCAGGTTTGGTGGGACCACAAGGGAGCATCGATCGAACCCGTCATCTATGTCCATTGTGAGCCCGAGCGCTTCTAGCTGTCTCACGGCTGAAAGTGAAGACGACGGCCTCGATGGTCTCGTTATTCCTGAAGAGCCTTTAGACTTAGAATCACATTTCAAGAAACGGGGAGGGCCTGTAGATCAAGACCTGGCTTACGCAAAACCTCCTTGTGCCAGTCAAGCTTCAACTAAGAGCGACGATTTTTTTTCGGGACTTGAGATTGAGGACGGACTTTTTGATCCTCAAAGGCTTTCAATAAACCCGAATATCAAGTGCAAACCGGAAAATTCTCGAAGTCCTGTGCGACACTCCACAACGACTCTCACGTTTACTAACATGGCAATATCTCCTAAGTCTCGGATTCCGCGTCCGTCCGGTCCAGATCGCCCACACTCGACACATTTAGAGACTGTCTCGGAGAGCGGTGCGCCCCTTCGGTTCAGGGGATTACAGAGCCTAGTTGGGAACCATTCAGCACAGCATTCTGTGTCCAGCCTCCCCTCCGTTCAGCAATCTTCGACGTCTCATCGACGGCACACAAGTCGAATGAACAAGGAAGCTTTTGCAAGCGACGGTGTCACTTTTGGCAGGTATCTGGCATCGAAGCGTTCAATGCCAAAAATGCGTGATGCACAGCACAGCGCCACGTCGTCCTTTGGTCAACGTCTTTCCACCTATTCTGATGTGCCAGGTATAATATCTCAATCTGTGCACCGTCCTAAAACCCCAGTAGATCGATCGGGGCACGACGTGAAACACCTCATGCGAAAGGCACAAGTGCCATTCATTCCTGCTGGAGCATCAGAAAAGCAGTCGCACCATGCAAGCCTTAAGAACCACCGTCATAGTCGTCGAAATAACCTTGATAGTTCGAACGATTCATTATTCACAAGCTATGCCGCTCGATCCTCGCGAAATCGTCATGACATGGGTAGCAAGAGTCATTCTGAATCTAGTCCAGAGGCCCTGACCACTGTCACTAAACGCACTCTCACTCGACCAACTCGACGGCGGAATTTTGGAGATGGATCGGAATTGGCTCTGTTCGATGATTTGCCTACATCTACCTCTGCGGAAAGTAGATTTGTAAAACATCCCTCCGGACGGGGTGTCCCACGATCATTCCGAAATAAGCTGGGTCACAGCCCGACTGTTTCTCCCGAAGCAGAAGCAATCACCCGGTCAACCCTCAGTAACTTGGGCGCGTCTCTCAACTTCGGTAACACCCCCAGGTTTGCACGAGACACTAATGCATCAAGAAATGCGAGGGAACAGCGCATAGCCTCTTTATCATCTAACTCCAAACTCCGCGAGAGCCATCCACTTGCTTCTCTTGGCTCGAATGCAAGAACCTCCAATACCTCCCGGATGCCTTCCAGCTCGGTTGCCAGCAGAGGCAAGAAGGGTAAAGCTACTGCGCTGCTTGGTTCTAGACCCCATCTAATTAAGCCACTAGGCACCGGTGTACAGGAGGCCAAGTGTAAGTCAAGCTTTTCCCCGGGGCAAGTGAGAAAACCGTGGCTAATGAATTTACACTTCAGCTATCAATGGTATGCGATACAATCCAAAATCCTTCTCTTGGGAGGGGAATGAGAATTTGGTTCGTGCCTTTGACACAAGTGCACCAAAATCTCCAAAGCCAACACCCGCTCTCATCACAAATATCGGAGCCATGCAGAACGTGCAGGTTGTTGGCGGGATGGTATTTGACCCGCGACGTATGTGCTGGCTGAAACTGGCGCCGTCACAGCCTGGGCAGGATGGGTTGGTGGCTGTCCAGGACGAAGATGATGTCTTCGCTGGTCTCGATGACTTGAAAGAAGGCTCTGACATGGTAGGTGGGCGATCATCAACTAATCATGAGGACCTTTGTCTTGCAGCAAGCGGAGACGACCGAAGCTACGGCGGCTCCTCAGACGAATGGCCTATAACGGAGGAATTTGATGTTGGGCCCGAGTTTATCAGGAGACAGCGCGCTGAGGAGGATAAATGGAGACGCAAGGTGGAAAAATGGACGAGACGTGATTGTGCAAAGCTCGGAGATGGCTGGAGATGGGGTATCCGAGATTTGGTACGATTTAATGGGACTGTCAGTGCCCCGGGTGTTCACAATGTATGAGAGGCTATTGACGCGGCTGCGGTTAAGGGTAGGCTGGTAGATCGAGATACCACATCCGCAGCGGTGCGGCTTAATTCTGCAGCCACATGATCAAAACCGGTGTCCACAGGGTGCCCGTCGCATAAGGCTCTATAATGCCATATTCATGCTCATTTGTACGACGTTACGAAGAAAATGTGCGGTTGTTTGTCCTTAATGAATTTCCGAATGCTGTACTCACATACAACGAGCTAAGCAGACATACATACAAAGCCTGACGAATCTGAGACATCCTGCACTCTTGAAGGAATGCGAAACCTTAGGTACCGGCTGGATCAATCAAATCCTGTACAATCTCAGTTGGTCATACAATGTTACGTCAGGTCACTTTCGGTCTTTAGGGAAACGGGTAGCACTACCGTACCTCATGTTGCGATGGTTGATCTACAGCCATACGTATTTAAGTGGCTTATCCGGATTCTACCCAAATCTTCAGAAGCACATGAAAGACCTGGTCTCTTAACTCCCGGGGGTTTGTTTGGGGGCAGGGCTAGATCATATCGCTTTCCAGGAAGTAGGTACACCCCTACAGCAGCCTTGCTTAATCTCCTGTGAACCAAAACACCACTCCGATGATCTTGCTCTACTTCAACTTTGTTCTTTCGTCTCTCAAATACGGTAATCATGATCACTCTGCAAGAATAGTCTTGCCCCGGTAGCGTGCGGTCCCTACTGTGATGGGTAGTTGCTCTTGTTGGCAAATTCTACTCTTATCCATAATTATGTACACGCCGTGCATTCTATAGTATTTATGTATGTGCGATAAGGCTCTGAGCCGAGAAGCAGAGATAACATGCCCCATGCCAATGCTAGCTTGTATTCATGAGTCGGGGTGCCTGTCGACGAACATATGTGAGCTGTGGATAAACTAATGGTTTGACCGCCCTGTATATATTGCGGAAGGATAAAGTGGCCACTCTGCAAAAACAAATCTGTCGGCAGAATAACAAGCAGTAAAGGAATCAACGCTTTATATCAACCCCAACAACCCTATTAAAAAGAATAATAAGAGGTATTCTCCGATAAAGAATTCTAATAACGATACCCTCAGTCTCTAAAAACTCTAAAGATCCTAATATAAAGGGGGGTTGGTATATTTACATAATTAAAAGGCTCTAAGGGGGTTATAAGCGCCTTGAAAGAAGAGGTAGGCCGGGAAGGAGAATAGGTAGATAGACGGATAGGCAGTAATTATAGAAAGTCTTAGGCAGTTAACCTTAGGCGGTTAATACTGCAGTAAGGATACTTTGTGAGAAAACTTACTTTTACAGAGTGGCCACTATATCCTTCTGTAGTGATTGTAGGCACTACACTCGTGCAACGAGGTATGACATGCTGTATATGCTGTCTACGCTGTAGTTATAGGCTTTTCACAAAACACCTCATGCCTTCGCCCTGATCACGACCACCACCTTACCTGCCTCTCCGATAGCTGCATGGGTTTGTTTGCCAGGTTTAAAAGTATAGAACCCACCATTGCTCGCCCTGCCGTGGCTCCTGGCTGGTGCACTAGCTTGCACTTTCACCCTCGTGTCAGCTGCCCTTCGCTAATCTTCCCACCATAGAATATCCGGCTTCCGGCCCATCGGAAGTCGATATAGCACACAAAAATACATACCAAGGTGTACTTTACAGTATATAACTATGCCTGCTTGAGAAGCCGTACACCCGATCATGGATAGAAGTAAAGTTCAACTAGAGGTCGTCGTGGTCAATAGAGTCAATTGAAGTGGCAAATGCTAGACTACATCACAGCCACGATCAATCTGTTATCCACGATGACCACGGGAGACATACTCAACTCCTTCCCGGTAACATGGAAGATGGACGACAATTATGGCGTGGCAGCTCGGTCTGAGAGCTATTTGCTATGGACTGCCAGCAAGCCCCAATAGCCCCGAGCTTTGCATGTACAACGAGTCAGCTCCTCATCAAAACGTGGGTCATACACAGTCTGATGTGGTATCCTAAATCCCAAATCAAGTAGCAGAATTGTGCCTCTGAGGCTACACTTTGAGCAGACAAGAACATGTACGTACTGTACACGGTCCGAGACCCGATTAGTTAAGAAAGGTCAGGGAGAATAGCAAAAGAATTATGAGGGATAAGGCAGGAGAACAAAATGAGGCGGAACCCTGTTCATGGGTCTAGTCCTATAGTCGCCTGGAGGTTCGATGCAGTAACCCGGCTACCTGCATGAAAAGAATCGTCTCATCTCGCTCTCGGCCATCGCGGCTCGTGGCTCTTGACTGTGGCTATTTAGAAATTGACTAGTCAATCTGGGAGCTTCTTTCTAGTGGCCTAAAATGCCCAAAGCCCATGGCTTATGTACTGCCGTGAGCAAGAACTCCTGTGAATCTCTACAATCCATATTCGAGTTGCTTATAGCATACAGGTGAAGTACTACAAGAGCCTCCTGGTGGCAGGGGTTGAGAAATATTGGCATTGGAATATCGGAAGAACACGTAACGCGAGAAGCTTTTATCCAGCATAAGGCGACAAACCCCTTTCAGGTGAATCAGGCACCACTTCCCAGCTTGGAGTTGGGGGCGTATTGCCTCTGCTACAATCTCGATTCAAGCTACCACCCCCCCTGCACAATCTCTGATCACCTCGGCATCATGTACTTGGGGCGTCAGGGCTAGCATAGGGAGGCAACCTGGGAACATCAATACAGTACGGAGTATGATATATCCCGGAGCCTGGCTGGAAACATTACGCATCCTATTTGCTCGGGCATTGCAAGGTTATCAACATCCGCGTCTTGGGCCCGACGCTGAACATAAAAAACGGAAATAGAAGTGACCATGCAAGGAATAAAGCCTAGAGTATTGGACACTCGACTACTTCGTGCTCTTCTTCCATTGGGGGGTAATACTCCTCGTACTCTGCTGTCAGATACACTCCGTCCTGCCTTGGTTAACCTCAGGCGTGATTTCAGACCTCGTACTGGCCAAGTAAGGGAGGAAGAAGAATTGACTAGGATGGGGGAATTCTCGCCCGACAGCTTGCAACACTTGGCATTGGATGAGAAAGGAAAAAGAAAGGAAGAAAGAGCAAGAGAGAGAGGACGGACAGAAAGGAAGAAAGCGAGTGACTTTGGCAACAAACAGCAATATCATGAATTGCAGCAGGTTGTTGCGCAGTACGGTAGGCATCGCGTGCCAAGTACCGCGGTGTAAACCCCAATCTAGGTCTCTTACACAGCTACTAGCTACCTGGCATCTCAATCCACTCACTATCCCAGGGCCGATAACTCAAAGGTAGCAAGCAGTCATGGCTAGGCAAGCAGGTAGGTGCCTTCCTGTCCTAAATCCTAATTTCTATATTCAACAACTTCCTGTGACCTCAGTCCCCCCCTCCCCTGCTGGTGACCTATGCATTACCCTGGTTTTGCCCATGTCATGCCCGTCTTGCTCCTTAACGTAATATGACTTCCATGCTTGAACCCTGTAAGTACCACAGATCTCTCTGACTATCAAAAGTCTTACTGCATGTCTGCCGCATTTGGTCCTTGAGCTAGGAGCTGATGCCCTACAGGTCGTCTTCTGATTTCCCGAATAGTCTCACTGACTACTATTGCCTCCTGTTGTGCACTTAGTTCTTGTTCGTCGAGTATGCTGCTCCGTCTGCAACGGTGTCCATGGCCGCCAGGAGCACTCCATGCGATCAAGAATAAGCAAGTGTCTCTCTCTCTCTCTCTCATATGCCTAGGGTCATACCGGAGAAAGGGCTTACCTACAAACCTGGGTAGGCTGGTGGTCTTAATTGCACCCCTGCCTAATAATTCCTCTTGTTTGGATACATATCGCATTTTCGAAGTTTGTATCCGAGTTGCACTGAGGAGCTGTTGTACCGAAAACTACTTCAACAGGCCCCCAATCGATTCCATGCTTTTTCTCCAAATTATTTAACTGGAACTGGGCTCCCTTCCTAAATTGATGCTCAAGCTTGGTCCTTGGTTTCGTGCAAGCTAAAACGAGTGTCTTCGAGAAGTGCAGTACCAGTACTGGTGTCGTGCCCTCAGCCTTTTTCCGTGCTTGTCTTCTGCGGAGAGCTTTCCTTGCCTGGTCGCTCACCTCCCCCCCCCCCCCCCTTCTTCTCGCCCAATCCAATTATTGCGGGCCCACGCTCATCAAGGCAATCTCCCTGTGGTGGTGTCACCCAACTTGCTGTCTCGACTCGGACTAGCTGTCTTGGGAGCTCCAACTTGCTTGCGGCAAGCTTCAGACCAGCATGAGCGGCTATACAAGACGCAATGAGCATCATGATGGTTACAATTTCACCCATCAAACGGCCCTTCCTCTTCCTTACAGCCATAACGACAATAATGACTTCAGTGTAAACGAGTCAGGGGCATTAATTTTCAGCCAACCATCTTTTCATCCTTTTACACCACAGTTTACTTCACCATATAGTCACCCCAGCCTATCAACAAGCACGCATCATTTTTCCTCGAGCAATCATTCCCCAGCGCATTCCATTCCTTCAACGCCCGACCATGTGCCCCTGCAGCAGCATCCTACGCAGTATTTCTCCCATTTGCGCTATATTCAGTCACCCAGCTATTTTACTCTTCGTGAAGCGCTCGGTGATGCGGAAATCGAGGCCCAGGAGTCTAGCAATGAGCACACCATGCTTTCAGAACCAGTTGTACCACCACTAGAAGGCTTCCCAAATGTGAGAGAGTTTGACCAATTAATGAAAAGGTGTGGTTTCACTATTTTCCTGAGACGTCTAATACCAATAGCATGAGGATACTCATCAAGACGCTTGCTAGTTACGTCGACGACTTATCTGTCAAGAAGCAAGACAAGGCATTGATCCATGCCAAAAGAGCGCGAAATATCAAGACTGTCCTGTTAGACCCTAAAGATACAGCTATAGAATCAGCTCAATTTCGGTAAGACCATATCCTACCCTCACGTCAAGATGAATATTACAGCAGCGCTATGCCTTCATCATATGTCATATCGCCCACCTTAGCGTCTACTGAGGCTATCTTTCATTAGATTCTGGGTAAAGAAGATGTTCAAGCTTCAAGCTGTTGGTCCTGGAGTATCGGATGTCAGTATTTGTATCCGATTCACAGATTCCCCTAGATGCTTACCCGGACATGCCAGCACAGTATACGAGGTTGATCTGCCACGAAGGAAAACCGGTGGCCATTCGAGAGAAGCTATTCAAAATTCTAACAAGAGCACATCAACAATGTCAACATGGTGGAAGGGACAAGACCTCAGCTCAAGTTCGACAGATCTATTCGTGGTGAGTGATATGTATCGCGCAAGTTAGAGCCTTCAAGGTTGTCCTTGAGTTTCCCACTCATGTGCATTGCTACCCATACTCTTTATGAACTAGTACGCAGTCTAACTTCTAGGTATTCACGTCACATTCTTGAAGGGTCCCGAAAGAGCTCATCTCACGCTTTGTCAAGATATGTCCTACTTGCCAAGTGCGTCGCGGTGGCTCGCGATTGACGCCCCCTAGTTCAAGAAGGAGCTCTCCGCGCTTAGAGACAGTGTCGCGCTCGCCAGCACTCCCGTCGCCACCAATTTCTAGGCGCGACTCCAATTTGAACGCACAATTGTCATTGGACAGATCCCAGGCTGATTTGTTTAGTCAATTCAATAGTCATGGTAATCATGGTCATTGGTCAGACAACCAAAGAAGCCTACAAGAGAGGCAGCCGTTGTCTTCGACTACTCTACGCTCATATGGAGTTGGAGCGATGAGCCACCTTCCAGGATCTGTCCCGGGAGTTCTAGAGCCATTCCAAAGTGACTTGTCGGTTTCACCGCCTCAAGTTGGTTACGGCACAAGCTATCCTTCAGCACATGGATCATCTAGTCAAAGAAGCTATTGAGATCCAGTGGATCCACGAGGAGATCCAATTTACCTTGAATCCCGGCACAGCTAACGATTACAACACTGCGAGGGATCATCACGCCCAGCTAAAATGCTCTAGTCTGTTTTTGAATATCTATGTCCAGTTTGTCTACTCTTCTGCTTTCAATTGAGTTAATGACATGAAGTATGTGTTGAGATTATACTCGTTTGTGAATTGAGTAGAGGACCTTGTTTTAAAGATTCTTTTAACAGTGCCACCCTTTGAGAATAGAAGTCTAGAGTTTTCCAACTATAATACAGATTGACCACCAGGATTAGGCAACGACGAATACATATTTCGTGACAAATTCTCAAAATGTATTGGATGCTGAAAAGCATGATCGAAAGGAAAGGGAAAGACAGCATCAAACATTGTCCTGCTGATCAATGATAATGTGGTTCTCTGTTAGAGTAAAGTCAAATGAAACTCCGCAGATCGAGTAGCCTTATCTCGTTTGTGAGTCAAAGTATACCACGCTACAACCTGGCTTAGACCGGGAGTGAGAACTTTTTACCCTTCATCACCCTATCCCAGTAGTCAGTACTTTTGAGAGCCAGCTTGAGAAGCTGGAATAACTCACTTGGTATAGTAGATATAGAAGAAATCCGAATATAGCAGTGTTTGTACGATGCCAGCAATGACTGGAATAGAGTGAAAGTGACGTTCAGCATAATACCTGTAGATCCAATTGGGGATGTAAAGAGCGCGGTAAAGGCCTAGCGCAAAAAGATAGTGTGTTGTTATGGTGTCTGCTTCTCCGGTGCGCTGAAGCATGAAAAGTTGCGGAAGAATAGCTACTGATTCTAACCATATGGAAAACGTCCAAAGAATCTGCACAAAGTTCTGAGCGGACAATTCAGATACTGGACTTGGAGACTGACCTCTGAGATGGTGTAGTCGTGGGGAAACAACAAAGCCAAAAGGGTACTGAAACAGAGAAGATATTGCACCTTGAAGGTATCGAGGTTCGGATCATGCGTGGGCTTGTACTCGGTGAGCATGAGATAAATGATATAAGCTGAAGAGCCTATGAACAAGATTTTGAAAGTTGTATTGTAGAGGGAGTCCGTAAAAGCCCAAAACAAATCTGCAGTCAAAACACAGGATTAGAGAAGAATATTTGCATGTTGGCAGCACGGCTCACCAAGATATCGCGTGATGAAAACCATTAGGTATAGAACCTGAGATTTAAATGATAGTCCCGAGCAGCTCTATTATCGCAATCAATCACCCAGTTGGAGGACAATGAATGCTGCTAACTTACACTCGACGACTTCATTTTCTGCAAAAGAATAAAGATAGATGCGAGATGAGAGAAATCGGCTAGTTCAAACAAGGTTAAAATGCGAGTATGCTCCTGGAGGGCGCGATTGGTACTTACCTGCTAACCTGAAGATGTTCATGGTGAAAGATAGGTATTGGCTTTCAATCCAACCAAAGGAAGAATTAATGAGAAGATTTATCTGAGAAGGAAGACGCAGGTTCAAGATAGTCAGGTAACTATGGAGGGTGAACAGAAGCTCGGATAAATTGACTTGAGAATATCTGTCTCACTTCCTATGTTGACTTAATGTTGACACGAAAACAGCAAGCTCCGCGCGACATGGGAGAAGGGAAGGTGCGCCCCACACTTCCTGATACATAGTTAGTTGGCACTTACCTCAGTACTAGGTAACTTACGAAGACTTGATGCCGTAATACAGGATGCCGGAGCACGGAAGGCCAATCACAGAATCAAAAACTATTGATGAACTTCGGGTTTGATCCACCTGGCACTGGGCACTGGGCAGAATGAAGTGAGTACCACTTTTAGTTAGTAGCTTGGTTATGGAGTAACTTGGTACTCTGCTTGGGGTGGGGGTCGCCTCCACCTCACAAATAACTCCATCTCAAGAATAACAAAAAATGTATACAAATCCTACTCTTTTTTTAAAAAAGTATAACTAGATCAACTAAGAGAATTAGGCTTCTAGACTATAGTATTAGTCTCTTAATATAGGGATTTATACATTTGTCTTTTTTTAATCAAGAATACCTTATAGATAAAGAATTAGTTCAAAAGATGCCTTGTTTATCAGCTATTTAATAGTTTTTTCTTATTAAAGGTCTACTTAAGGGATATCTTTTTTCTTATTTAGAATAACTTATAATAATAAGCTATTTTTATCTTCTATTAAAATATTAAACTCTAATCTTAATAGTTAGCTAAATTATACTTAGTATAAAAAGTGGATTTGTATACATTTTTTGTTATTCTTAAGATGAAGTTATTTGTAAGGCAAAGACAACCAACCTGTAACAACGGGTGGGGTGCCGCAGCAACAGGTATGTACATACTGTACAAGAATTAGCCGGGGGGGCCTGTGAGAGATATCCGGGGTCATGTGACCTCGGACCTCACTACTTCGGCCATGTAGCTAGATACACACATAATGATATATATATAAAGCAGTTACAGGCTATATATCACAGTACAGATCTAATGCACCAATTCCACCTATTCTATCTGTTTAACTTATTTAATCTGTTTAACCTATTCTGTTTTAATAATCTAACTATTTATTTAATTGTTTTATATATAATTTACAATTTTTTAATTGTCTGTTTATTTTTAATTCTGTTTATAGCTTTTTAAACTATATTTTATATATAAATTTAAAAAAGCCTAATCCAGTAGCTAAAGAGATTTAAAAAAATTAATTATAAAAAATTATTTTATTTATACTATTATTTTTACTATTTAGCTAAATTAAAAACTAGATACTAGTCTACTTTTTAATAGTATATAGTTTTTACTCTTAAAAATAGTAGTACTAGTAAAATATTAGTAATTCTATAACTTTTAGTAATATTAAATATATTACCAAAGTTTATTTAATATATTAATAAATATTTGAAAAATAGTCTTATTATTATAATTAAATCTATATCTTTACTGGCAAAGCAGATTATAAAAAAAACTAATTTAAAGTGTTGGTGTTTGAGGGCTTGAAGAAACAATTTTATAGATAGATGCTTAATTAATTTCCTAAGTTTGCTGTCTCAACAGCTAACTATATTCTCCCACTTGGGTGGTGAGGAGTGGCAGAATACCAGCTTATTATAGTATTTTTACTATAGTAAACTCTGTATGTAATACTTCCCCTTATAGAAAAATAAAAGTATATTAAAAAAATATAAAAAAATTATAATACAGAACTTAAAATCTAAATCAACGGAGGCAATAAATAAATAAAATTATGAAAAATAGGAAATAGTAGAAATTAATATTATAAAAAACAGATTAAAAAATAAAAAAAGATATACTTATTACACAGTTGATATATTAAAGTAATAATAAATATACAGTTAAATAGTTAACTTAGCAAAGTCCTGGAAATCTTTTATAAATTAAGTTGTTAAATAGCCACTATTTTAAAGGCTTAGAACAGAAATTATAATTATTAGTATTGTTAAGATCCAAAAACTATTTTTAATATTATAAAAAATATACTATATATAAAAAGTAAATATAGTATTAATAATTTTTTTTTAGTAAAAATATATATTTTTAATACAGTTATATATAGTCCCTAGATATTATTTTTAATAAAGTAAAAAAAGCAGTATTTTTTCTACAGAAGATCTTTCAATACCAGGATATTTTTTATATTTAAAGTAGAGTAAAACTAGAAATATTTAAAAAAAGTTTTTTTATAATCTTAATACTTAGCTTTTTTTTAAATAAGATGGTGGTTAATAATCCAGTTATAAAGTTTACCTAGTTAATATCTGTATTTTTAAAAAATAATATAATAATAAAAGTATTATTTTTATTATTAAATAAGGGGTGTATAAATTTTTTATTATTAAAATCTCTTAATTTTTTTTATTTATTAATACTGTTTTATCTGTTTTAATTTTTTAAAGGTATTTTAAAATCTTTTTATACTTTTAATATACTTAGGAAAAGCCTTAGCAGCTGGAATTATATTATTTTTTAATTTAATTTAATCCTATATTTTATTTATTTAGCTGTAGAAAAAAACTTTTTTAAAAAACTTTTTATAACTGATTTACTATTTAGTATTATTTTAAATAAAGATATTTTTTAAGTTTACTAAGTTTTTTAGCAGGCAGATTTACAGCTGTATAAATAATATTTATTTTCTAATCTATAACTTTTTAATATTATATAAATATATTTTTATTATAGTTTTTTATTATCTCTTTAGCTTATATAATCTATTCTGGTATTAGTTTAAAAACCTTTTTTTAATTCTATATTTTATTTTAAACTCTAGAAGAAAATTATAATTTTTAAAATTATTTTTAAAAAAGTTTTTACTGTACTGATTAATAATATAATATAGGTTTAACTTAATTTATAACTAGTAAAAAATATATATAATAAAATTATTATAAATTATTTTATATTAGTAGATATATATACTACCCTATATTTAGCTAACTTAAAACTTTAAAAGCTTTAGTTTAATATAAATAAATAATATAAAAAAAATAAAAAGTATTGAAAAAGCAAATTAGCTGATAAAGTATAGTTAATAAATTAAATAATTAATACTTTTTTATTAATTTTATAGTCCAAGTACTTAGCTGGAATATCTGGGATTTAATTAGTACTCTAATAATCTACTACTTTTTTATTATTTTTTTTAAATATTTTATTAGTTTTTAAGTTTAATAATATAAGGTATTTATTAAAATTAATAGGCTGTAGAGTTGCTGGAATAGATTTTTTAAAACTTATAAATATAAAATAGTTAAACTTTTTTTAGGGTGCTGTTTTTTATAGGGTTGTTAAAATCTAAATAAAAATCTTATATATACTTTTTTAGCTTTGGTTTGTTGTACTTAAATAGTTTTTTTTATACTTAGATTTAGAATCTGGACTATTTTGTTGTAAGCAATTAAAAACAAAGCTGAAGTCTAATCTAAAATTAGATATTATTTTAAAGTAAAGTTTAAAAAGTCTATAAAAGATTATTAAGTTAAGCTAAATTTATTTTTAAAAAAATACTAGTTTTTTTAATATTTTAATATTACTGTTGCTGTTCCGGCTTTAATATAAGTTTTTTTTTATTAAAGCAGATGTATTTTGTTATAGAAAAGGTGTTACAGTGCAGACCTGATGTATCTGTCTTACCTGTTCTACCTATTCAACCTGTCTAATCTATTTAATCTATTTAACCTGTTTTACCCTAATAACCTGTTTATTCTTTTTAATTATTTTATATATAATCTATAATCTTTTTAACTGCCTGTTTACTTTTAATTTTATTTATAGCTTTTCAAGCTATATTTTATTTATAAATTTAAAAATAGCTTAACCTAGTAGCTAAAAAATATATTAAAAAACTAGTTATAAAAAATTATCTAGTCTATACTATCATTTCTACTATTTAGCTAAACTAAAAACTAGATACTAATCTGCTTTTTAATACTATATAGTTTTTACTTTTAGAAATAGTAGTTTTAATAAAATACCAGCAATCCTGTAATTTTCAGCTATACTAAATAATCTAAAAAAGTTTATCTAATATATTAATAAATATTTTAAAAATAATAAAACTATTATAATAAACTATACTAATATATTATAAATACTAAAGCTGTATTTACTAATATTTAGTATACTATTATTATAAAAAATATACTACTTAACTACTAAATAAAATAGATCTAAAAAAAAACCAATCTAAACTGTCAGCTTATAGAAATAAATACTGCCTAAAAATTACCTTTAAAAAATAAAACTAAATCTAAATTAAATATATTAAAGCTATTTAGATTATTATTTTTATAAGAAATACTTTAGTATAAACTTTAAAATTTATATTTATTATTAAAAATACTATAGCTGCTCTAGTAAAAGTAATTATATTAATTACTTTTAAATCTTCTACTTTTATTTTTTTTTAAATATTTATTTAATTTTAATAAGTTTAAAGGTAACTATTCCAACTTCTAATACTTTATTTTTAAATTAAAAATAAATAAATATTAATACTAATTAATATACTACTGCTACTATTTAAAAATCCTATATTACCAGCTGTCTAGATAAGATTTTATATATATAAATCTAATTCTATATTAAAAATAAAAAGTAAATACTAAATAATTTTACTAATATTTTTATACTGTTTAAATATTTTTTTAGTAATTTTAACTATACCTGTACTACCTAAAATAAACTATACTACTTAAAGTTAAAAACCTATAATTTTATTATATTTTTTATTAAATTTAAATATTTAGTATAAAAAGCCTATATATATTTTAATACCCTATTTTTTATACTTAAAAATAATATTAGCTGGGATTTTAAAAATATACTTTTAATTAATATTTTATTTAAAAGGGACTATTAAAACCTAGTGTATTTTTTTAGATATTTAATAACTGCTGTTTATAATATAATATTAAAGCTTATAAATACTTCTAAAGACCTGCTACCAATCCAGTACTATATATCTAAAAAAAATTAGTTCAGATCTTAGAATAAGAACTATTTAAAAAGATCTGCTATTTTAAAATCTAATTTTATAAATCTATTTATCTATTGTATACTACTGGTTTTCCTACTAAAGAACCAATTACTACAACTACTAAAAATATTTTTATTATAAATTAAACTACTATTTTATTAAAAATTATTCTTAATCTAATACTAAGATACTATAAGTAGTATTTATATATTTTTTATTTTTAAATCCCTATACTTATTTACTGCATTTTTTATTTTTAAATTTCTATATTTATTTACCTTTAAA